CTGGGCTAGTTTTGCAGTGTTTGACACAATCTGGGGAGTCAGGAGAACACATGGGGCCCCAGGGTCAGAGTGGTAGTGATGACCAGTGATAGTTTAACACTGACATTCTCTTTCCCTCTCCTTGGCAGGTGGGCATCAACTACCAGCCTCCCACCGTGGTGCCCGGTGGTGACCTGGCCAAGGTGCAGCGGGCCGTGTGCATGCTGAGTAACACCACGGCGATCGCAGAAGCGTGGGCGCGGCTGGACCACAAGTTTGACCTGATGTATGCCAAGCGGGCCTTTGTCCACTGGTACGTGGGGGAGGGCATGGAGGAAGGCGAATTCTCGGAGGCCCGAGAGGATCTGGCGGCCCTGGAGAAAGATTATGAAGAGGTGGGCGTCGACTCGGTGGAGGCAGAGGCCGAGGAAGGGGAAGAGTACTAGGGGGCGAGGAATGCCGGAGAGCCTCACCTCCCACCCCCTGCGAGTGTACCTGGTTACATAATTTGTTTACGAATAAATGTTTACTTTTAAAGCAGAGTTTGGCTTGATGCCTTTTCACCCAGATCCCAAGGCCATAGATGCTCATCTTTACAAGAGGAAGCGCCCTGCCGGGTGCCTAGTAAGGGGTTGGGAAGGCCCTGCTTGGGCTCCTGGGGCTGCTGGGCACGGTGACTGCAGCAGTGACCTCCCGTGACAAAGCCCTTGTAAAAATAACGGCTGCACACTGGTCAGTCTGCTCAAGCCTTGGGAGGTGCTTTTCTGGCCCTGCCTGAGGCCACTGGAGAGAAAGGGGAACAGGAAGCCACGCTAGCTCCTGCATGAGGGCAGAGAACCCCGTAACTTCCAGGGCCCCCGGCCCCTCCCAGGATCCCACTGGACCCTGAGCAGCTTCGCTCCATGCAGTCGTGGTCAGAACCACCAGAGGGCACTCCCACCTCAAAAGTGAGAGCAGATGGAAGCCTCCGTATGCCTAGGGAAAGGGCCTGGGCAGCCAGGTGTGGGGTGTGGGTTTAGGCCTCACTGGGCCACCCGCTTCACCTTGCCAGTGACCAAGTGGTGGAAAGAGCTCTGGGTTTGGAGTCAGAAGATGAGTTCAAATCCTACCTATGTAACCTTGGGCAAGTTGCACTCTAGGCCTTGGTCTCCCCTTCTGTCAGAGAGCCATGTGATCTGGTCCCCTGAATTCTGTGACCCTCAAAGGAAATCTCCCAAGAATCAATTTTTAAAATTTATTTTTAGTTTTCAACATTCGCTTCATAAGATTCTGAGTTTTAGGTTTTCTCTGCCTCTCTGTCCTCCCCCTCCCCAAGATGATGTGCAGACTGATGCAGGCTCTAAACATAAGATTTTCACATTAGTCATGTTGTAAAGAGGAATCAGAACCAGTGGGAGGAGCCATGAGAAAGAAGAAACAGACAAAAAAGGGCAAGCAGTCTGCTTCGATTTGCATTCAGACTCCAGAAAAACCTGGACAGACTCACGTGGACTGATACTGAGTGAAGTGAGCAGAACCAGGGGGACGTTGTACACACCAACAGCCACACTGTGCGATGACTGACTTGGACAGGCGTGGCTCTCCTCAGCGATGCAAGGATCTAAGACAACCCCAAAAGTCTCATGACGGAAAATGCCGTCCACATCCAGAGAAAGAACTCTGAAGTCCCCCTGCTCACCATTTCTTACAGCACAATAGCATTCCATCACATTCCTGTACCACAGCTTGTTTAGCCATTCCCCAACTGATGGGCATCCCCTCCATTCCCAATTCTTTGCCACCAAGAATGAAATTCTTTAAGCAACTCAATGGAGAAAGAAAATCTCAAGGTTTTGGTAGCCATGAGGCTACTAAGCCTTCAGAATAATGGGGTTTGGGGGGGGGTAATTAGGGTTAAGTGACTTTCCCAGGGTCACACAGCTAATAAGTGTCAAGTGTGTGGTCTGAGGCGGAATTTGAACTCAGTTCCTCCTGACTTCAGGGCTGGTGTTGTATCCACTGTGTCACCTAGCTGCCCCCAGAATGTTTTTAAATGCACAAAACAAAGGAGTCCAAAGGAAATCGTTGGAATACAATTAACATTTTTTTTTTAAGTTTACAGACTCCAAAGTTAAGATCCCCACAGAAATGTGCAGGGAACTCAACAAGCAATAGGATGTAAATTCTCTGAAGGCAGGAGCTTTTCAGTTTTGTCTTGTGTGAGGGTGTTCACTCAGGCCCCACTGGAGGGCCAGGCAGGCCACCTCCCCTCCACTGGCTGGAGCCTTTACCAGCATTGTGTATGTGCAGGGGCACTCCCCCCCCCAGTTAGGGAGCCAGTGACTAGCACCTAGTTCCTGATTTGTTCTTTCATCATTTCAGTCATTCCAACTCTTCATGATCGCATTTGGGGTTTTCTTGGCAGAGATCCAGGAGGGGTTTGCCATTTCCTTCTCCAGTTCATTTTACAGATGAGGAAACGGAGGCAAACATTTTTTTTGGTGGTTTTTTTGGGGGGTAACTGGGGTTAAGTGACTTGCCCAGAGTCACACAGCTAGCAAGTGTCTGAGGTCATATCTGAACCCAGGTCCTCCTAACTGCACATCCAGTGCTCTGTCCAGCGCGCCACCCAGCTGCCGTAACGTGAATTAGTTTTTACAAAAGGATTTTTACTTCCAATTCAGCCAGGACAAACATACAAAAGATTCCCTGAACGTCTGCGGGGCATGCTCTCCTTGTCCCACCTGAGTCCACTGAGGGGACAGCGTTTGTCTGCCCTCGTTCGTGTCCAAAGGCATCACCCCTGCCAGAGGAGCCTCTCCCCTCCAGCGGGTGCAGGTCCTTCCAGCACTGAGGCTAGCCTGGCCGCAATGCTCCCTTCATGGGATGCCACAAGGGACGGAGTCACAGGTCCCCCTAGCGGTGAGGGAGGCAGAGATGGTGGGGGCTACCAGGCCTCTGTGAATGCCCCAGCAGCCAACTCAGCTTCCTCAACGCGTGGTTAGCTGACCAAAACCAGCCAGGGTGTCTACACGGGCTCCATGGTGTCTCCGCGAGGCACCGCCTGCTGGCCACTGACCGCGTTGTCGTGATGCTCCCCAGATTCTCCAGGTGGGGTGGCACCGTCTGGAGTGGTCTGGGCACACGCTGCACTCCCGCTACATGAGCATGTACTGACTGGATGTGGAAGGTGGAAGCAGGAGCAGATGAATGCAAAGGCCCAGCTGGGGGAGGCGATGACCAGAGGCACTCATATCTTACCTTCTCTCTTCTGAAAAGATGAAACAAAAATGGCCAATAAGAGATCTGGTGCTGAAGATGAGCAGGGAGATTTGATGAGAGCCCCATTCAGTGAACAGCAAAGAGCCAATCTGATTAACTTCCTTTAGTAAAACTGTCATAGGGGTAGCTGGTGGCGCAGTCGATAAAGTGCTGGGCCGAGAGTCAGGAAGACCCGTTCAAATCTGGCCTCAGACACCCCCTAGCTGGGTGACCCTGGACAAGTCACTTCACCCTATTGGCCTCAGTTTTTTACTCTTCTGTCAAATGAGCTGGAGAAGGAAATGACAAACCCCTCCAGCATCTTTGCCAAGAAAACCCCAACGGAGTCACTAGGCAGACAGGACTGAAAAACAACTGCCCCTTGAAAAGAGGAGGAACATAGCGGGTACGGAGAGCCCAGAGGGAGAGATGGAGCAGGCCTGGCCCTGGGAGAGTGGGGCCACAGACAGCCATAGTACATGGCATTAAAGGGATGGTCATGGAAAAGGAAGTGCCAGGGAAGGCCCCTTCATCAAGAGCGCATCCTGTCATTAAGAGCCAATCACCCGAGACTTCAGAGGCCTGACAGCGAAGCGGGCCGTTCACCTTCTGGGCGAGATGATGGCTGTGAGGGGCAGCACGAGGCCTCCATCTGAGCACCGGAGCGGGCAAGTTTGTGAAAAGGGCTTTTTGTTTTAATCCTTTCCATTTGATGAGAGGATGGTGGGAGAAAAGGTAGCAATGGGGCTGCTAAAAAAAAAAAGGAAGAAAAGAGGGCAATGAAGCATTTAAAGAAAGCAAAAGAGAAAAGGAGGAAGGCCAGGAAGAGACAGACCCAGAGCTGTCGCACGGGGGAACGGGCTGCCTCAGGTGATGATAGCCTCTCCCTCACTGAAGATCTTCAAGTCAAGGGGATGTTATCTAACCCAGTCCCATCACATTTTACAGTCAAGGAAACTGAGGCACAGAGCGAATCGGTCCCACAGGGATCACAACACAGCCAGCATTCGAAACCAGCCCCTCTAACTCCAAATCTAGCCCTCCCTGCTCACCCGCAGGGCCAGCAAGCAGCACTAGATGGATGCGGTGCTGGACCTGGAGTCAGGATGTCCCGAGTTCAAACCCTGCCACACAGCCTCCCATCAGACCCCTCTGACTACAGAGCAGGGCCTATTTAAAGCAGTTGCACTCGGCTTCCTTGTCCCATTTCCCACCAGCTACACTGCTTCTGGGGCCACCCCCATTTCCGGCCTCCTTTTGTGGAGGGCAGGGGCTGTGCCTTAATTTGCATTTGTATCCCCAGCGCTTAGTACAATACCTGGCATAGGGCAGGAGCTTAATAACTGTTGAATAGTGCCACATTGGCCGTGTGACCCTGAGTAGGTCACATCACCTCTCTGCCTCAGTTTCCTCAACTGTAAAATGAGGAAAAGTACAGCACCTGCCCTCCAGGGGGAAGAATTTTAGTTCTATATGCCTGGTACAGAGTAGGCACCAAATAAATGCCTACTCCCTCCTTCGGAGCCTCAGTTTCCCCAAGTCTAAATCAGGAACAAGAATTTCTCCAGGGGAGGGGCTTACGCCAGGGCCGACCTGAGCCAAGTACGGATCAGCCCCGGCCCCGCTCCGCCCCCTCTGATTGGCAGTGCCCTTTCCCCTCCCGCCCTATCATGGCAAGGCCCCGCCCCCTCCCAGCCGGCCCATCCATCCTTCGAAGCCTCGCTCTCTCCCCGCCGCCGTGAAGCATCCTGGGTAAACGGGCCACTTGCCCCAGCCTCCCTGCGCAGGCGCAAGCTCCGCCCCCTCGCACGCCCTATAACGGTGGGCGCGCTCTCGCGAGACCACGTCCGTGGCTTCGCGATGGAGGAGTCGTGAGTGCGGCCAAGGGGGAGAGGGGCCGGGCGGAGGGGAGGGGCGGGAAGGGTCAGGGCGGCGCGGGCCCAAGCAGGCGGAGGGAGGACCACCCCGCGTAGGCTCAGGCCACGCCCCTCTGCCCTTTCTCTCGCAGATGCCCCGGCACTGCTCGGCCGCGGGCTGCTGCACCCGCGACACGCGCGAGACCCGGACCCGCGGGATCTCTTTCCACAGGTGAGCGCGCCCCCGCCCGACGGGTGCGTGCGTGCTGCGTGCCGGCGTGCGCCTGCGCGGGGCGGGGCCTGACGGCGTCGGCGCATACTGTGCGTGCGCGGGAACAGGCGGCCCCGCTCCAGCAGGGGGCGGTGGTGCGCCCGGGCGGCGTCTGCCTGCCTGTCCTCGGGGAGCTTACCTGGTAGACCCGGGCAGGTGTGGGGGAAAGAGGGGCCGAGCAGCAGTCTTTCGTTAAGCGCCTGCTGTGCGCCAGGCGCTGGGCTAAGCGCTGGGGATCCCGGGAGAGGAAGGCAGCCCCGCCCTCGGGGAAGCTTACAGTCTGGGGTGGGGGCGGGGAACGCAGCCGGCTCCAGGCCGGGAGGGCCTGGGAAGACCGCCGCGGGGGGTGGGGTTTTGTCCAGGAGCCCTCGGGGTTCCCGGCGCGTGGGAGGGGCGGCCCAGGTCGGGCTCCAGCTTGGAAGGCGGCCCGAGGTCTTCCTCGTGGACCCCCGCGGCTGCGCACGCCCTGGGGGGCCGCGGCCCTGAGGGTCACGCCTAGCAGCATTGCTCCCCCTCCCGCCACCTGCCTAGTGTCCCGCCGCGCCGGCCTTGGCCTTCTCTGTGTTTCTCGTTTCCAGCCTCCGGGCCTTTGCCCTGGCTGTTCTGATGTTGGATGCCCACTCTCCGTCCTCACCTCAGCTCCTTTGCAGCACACCCCCCCCCGACTCTGCTGAAGGCGCCCCCTCCCACGTTTACCTGGTGTGGGCAGACTCCCTGTTCTTCACGTTCCCCCATAGACTGTTCGTCACCGTAGCTTGGTGCCTGCCTCCCCCGGGAGGCAGGTGCTACTCTTACCCCCGTTTTACAGACGAGCACACTGAGGCTTACAGAGGTGGCTGGTACCCATCACAAGGCCTGGCACGTGGTTGGAAGAACGTTGCTTATTTAGATACAGTGCAGACCCCGTTTCCCCACCTCGTGCCTCCCCACTGGTGGAGTGGAAGGCAGCGGCTTTCAGTGGCCTCTGCGGCTTCCTTCCTCCCTCTGGGCCAGTTTCCTCTTCCACTAAGTGAGGAGGTTGAGGTTCCTGGCTCTCCTGCTACACGGGCCTTAGGGGGGGTCTGGATCTGGAGGGGGCGGACCCAGTTCCCCAAAGGTGGGAACCCCCTGCGGGGGGGGGTGGAGCAGGGCAGCCAGTGCCTGTGGCTTCCTTCCTAAGGGCCGTGGGGGTGGGGCTCCCCTCAGGCTACCCAAGAAGGACAACCCTCGCCGAGGACTCTGGCTGGCCAACTGCCGGCGCCTGGACCCCAGCGGGCAGGGGCTCTGGGACCCGGCGTCTGAGTATATCTACTTCTGCTCCAAGCACTTTGAGGAGGACTGCTTTGAGCTGGTGGGGATCAGGTAGGAACGGGGTTGGGGGGGGGGCTTTCCCTGGGCCCTCAGGCGGGGGTGGGGGTCCAGCTGCAGCAGCGGGCCAGAGGCTCATGGTCTCTCCTCACAGTGGCTATCATCGGTTGAAGGAAGGGGCTGTTCCCACCATCTTTGAGTCATTCTCCAAGCTGCGACGGACATCGAAGGCTAAGACGCACGGGTACCACCCCGGCTCTCCCGACCTTTCCCGGCTCAGAAGGTGCAGGCGCCGGTAAGTCCCCCCATGATTGTCTCCCTTTAGGGTCCGTGGGGAGGGACCAGAAAGGAGAAAAGCAGGGTGCAGTGGGAGACCCTGGGGCCTGGGCCTGCATTTGCCCCTGACTGGATTCATGATCCTGGGCAAGTCCTTTCCTTTCCAGGCCTCAGTCTCCTCATCTGTAAAATGAAGGCACTGGGCGAGTCAATCCCCAAGGCTTCTCGGGCAGGGATGGTCCTTTGGCTCTCAGGGAGCGTGGGGGAGGAGAGTCCTTGGATCTGTGCCCTGACATTTTCCTCCACAGCTGCTCCACGGGACGGGCACCCCCTCCCCCTGTGAATAACGCCCTGGTGAACGGGCCCACTCCCGTCGATGTCCCCTGCTTCCCTGGGGAGGAGCTGCCCGCCCCCGAAGGCCCCCGCTCCCCCGGTGAGCCTGCCGGCTCTGCCTCCTTCGCCAGCCCCCAGTGGCCTCGTGAGCCCTTTCTCTGACCTTCTGGAGCCCCTGGAGCCTCACGGGGATGAAGCAAGTTGCGGGACCCCACTGTCCCCGGAGCGGGAGCCCTCACCCTCGGCAGCCCGGCCCGTGTCCCCTTCGGCCTACATGCTGCGGCTGCCGCCCCCGGCCGGGGCCTACATCCAGAATGAGCACAGCTACCAGGTGGGCAGCGCGCTGCTGTGGAAGCGACGGGCGGAGGCGGCCCTGGACGCCTTGGACAAAGCCCAGCGCCAGCTACAGGCCTGCAAGCGAAGGGAACAGCGGCTGCGATTGCGGATTGCACGGCTGCAGCAGGAGCGGGCACGGGAGAAGAGGACCCACGCGGATGCGCGGCAGGCCCTGAAGGAGCAGCTGCAGGGCCTCGAGCTGCAGTGAAGGGGCTGTGTCTCCCCTGCCAGGCAGCTGCTCTCTCCCAGAGGCCAGAGGAGTGCGGGCCTGCCCTGGGACCCCTGCCCCAAAGGGCCCCGGCCTGAGGCCGCCTAGGCGCCACCGGTGTCCATCTCAGGCTTTTGGCTCCATGGTAGTTCTGGGATCTTAAGCTCTCCTGCCCGGGTTTCTCTGCCCACCTGCTCCAGGCACAGTCTGTCCACCCCTGCCTGGGTCCAGGCTCAGAGTAGCCAGGGCAGGTGAGGCCGGGGGCTGCCCACAGTGGGCAGCAGAAGGGAAAAAACCAGCTGGAAATCAGGGCTTTGTTTCACTTGCTCTCATGTCAAACTGTTCCCTGATGGCAAGTAAAGACCCTTGGAGACCCAGCTCTTCACCCAGTTTATTGAGTGCCCGGCCAGCCGGCTCATGTCCTACGAGGGGCAGCTGGGAGCACCCGCCATCTGCCCTCTGTTCCAAGCTCCTGGGGAACTTAGCTGAAGGCCATCCAGGCCCGTGCAAGATGGAGGCCCAGAGAAGTGACCGGGATGGCGCTGCACAGGCTGGATGGGGCAGAGCTAAGTAGAATGCACACAAACGCATGGACTCACGCGAGAACTGAGCTGAGTAGAACACACGTGCACATCTATGCGCATGCACACACGCTGTTCTCAGCACACATGAGAATTGAGCTGAGTAGAATACGTATCTCTCACACACACATACACGCACGCACAAGCACCGTGGTCATCCCTCCCACAAGCCTCCTAAGCAGATCCAGTGATCAGATTTCTTTCTTTCTCAGAACAGTCTCCCATTAAGAAAAGCACCTCTGGGCCATCACTGCCCCAGGATCCTGAACAAATCAGACACATTTGTATTTTTTTGTCACTAGCTAGTTCAGCAGCCTCAGTGACAGATGGATAAATGGGCCAATAAGAGCAGCATTTGCTAGCTCATTCTTGCTAAAACCAGATGGTATGGGTCCACATCTCCCCCATCGCGGCTAATGGTGTATTTTTTTAAATTACACACTTAATGATCATTAGCGACAATGCACCAAACAGCCGGCCAGCTCAGCCCAAATCTCGGTTCTAGAAAGGCAGAACAGAACCAGTAGCAAAGGCCCGATGAGCCGAGGAGGTGCCCTGGGTCTCACCCTGCAGGGGGGCAACTCTAACCTGAGGCCTGGCAGATTCCCACTAGGGAGAGGCAGCACCTCTCAGCTGCCACTGTCATGAAGCCAGACAGTGTGGGGTCACGAGAGGGGCCCCCCTGGGCCTGGACTCGGGCTCTAACCCGGATAACTGGCCGAGTGACCATCTCCTCTCTGGGCTGGGTTTCCGCAATGATGAAAGGGGTATTACACCTCCTAGCTTGGCCCATTTGGGAGAAGGTTTTATAAACCCCAAGTCCCCGTGAAGTGCAAGCTGCCGTCAGGAGGCAGGACAACCTCTGGAAGCCCAGAGGGCCCCCAGGGGGGACCAGCGCCTGGGAGGGAGCCCGGGGGCCGCTCCTGGCTGAGGCCTTCCCACCACCTCTCCAGGTCTCCACGGCTGTGGGGCTCTGAACCTTAAGAGGCCCACTAGGGACCGGGACCTGGAAAAGGAGCCAGAACATCATCAGTACCCGTGGCTGACTGCTCAATGGCGTCCTCACTTGGGTGCCTCGTGCCTGGGGGTGACGTGGGGCTCGTTAAGGCTGGGCCTCCCAAGGTGGAGTGCCACAACTGTGACACATGGAGGGGCAGATCGCCCATGGCTTCTCTGACCAGGCCAGGGCAGCAACAATAGTGACGTACATACCCAAGGGCTCTGGTGATGAGAAGGCCGGCCATGTGCTCCCAGCACAGGAGAGAACCCGGGCTGCTGTCTCTCTGGCCCAGCCTTCATCCCTGGCCCCGGGGAGGGCAGACGCGTGCACTACAGACCTCCCTCCCCACTAGCTGGCCCAGGCTCATTTATGGGGTGAGGGATGCCAAGGCACAAAACTGTTACAACTTTTACTTCCTCTGAATGGTCTTTCAAAGTAAAGCGCCTTTGGTCTCTTAAAACATCTACCCCCACAGCCAGGCAAAGGCTCAATTCTGACCTGAGGGGCCAGGGCCTGGGGCACAGGGGGTGGTCCCTCCAGCACAGTCACACCCAGACTGAGGGTTTCATGGGTCTAGTCCAGCCCCGCTAGGGGGTCTTCTCCGCCTGTGGGCCCCCTTGCCCTGGTCCCGCCGAGTGCCTGTCTGCTTCTGCCCAGGCCATCCTGAGCACATGGAGCCTCCCAGGGGTGCAAATGGCTGCTGCACGGCCAGCTGGGCCCCCCAAGGAGGGGGCTCCAGGGGGCATCATATGTCGGAGCCCAGCTCAGCGCACTGCTTGTCAGATATGTGAGTGGCCAGAGACTCGATGATGTCCACGAGGAGTGGCTGGCTCAGGGCTCGCAGGTTGGGCAACTTGGAAACCTTTGGGAAAAGCAAGGACAATGGGATTACAGCCTCCACGTCCCCTGGCAAGGATCTCGGGGTTGCGGCTGGGACAGCCCAGAGGGGTCCAAGAGTGGGGGGTCACATCCTCTCCTCTTCATTTCCCCACAGCAGAATGGGCTGAAAACCCCCAGAATGCCAGGGGGGGGCCAAGGCACCTCGGGAGACACCCCATGGGGGGAGGGGCCGCAGCACGGATGCATGTGCTCCCCTTCTCCCCCACCCCCACATATGCACACCCACACAGCACATGTTCACACCTAGACACACATACAGCCAGAAAGCACGTGAGACACGTGCTCATAGCCATGAAGCGTGTTCACACCCGCGCAGCATAGATGCACGCAGGCACACACACCCCCCCAGATCCTTGAAGACAGTAATGCCAGTCCTCCCTTCCACCCAAAGTCGTCATCTCTAAGCTAACTATCTGATGACATGGTTTCAACCACATGGTACAGTGAGCTGAGCGCTGGGCTTGGGAACAAGGGCCTGGGTTCAAATCCTGGCTGTCACTTCCTGTGTGCTCCAGGGCACGCCACGCCCTCTCTGGGCCTCACTTTTCTTATCTCTAAGATGAAGGGGTAGCTCCTCCCAACTTTCAGTGTGGCATGTGTCCTTCTGAACTGTCTCCCCCCCTCCCTGGGGCATCCCCAACCTTCTTTGTGACAATGACCTCTGGACACAGGTCACACCCAGTGGCCAGATCTGGTGAATATGGAGGCTCAGCTCTGGTCTGGACCATAGCTGAGGCCTCGAACCAGTCTGTCCCTTTTAGGAAAACTCCCAGCCCTCAGCCCACCAAGCAGGGCCCTCTATCACATGGGTCCTGGACCATGGGGGTAGCCAGGGCTCACGGAGCCCAGGATGTGGGAGGACATTTCCACCTGGAGCAATGTTTGGGTAAAGAGCAGCAGCACGTTTATTTGCAGGGTGCCTAGACCCTCCTGCTTAGCTAGGACTCTTCGAGAAATCCCAACTCTGGGTCCCACTGGGAGCATCACCAGGAAGCCCGCAGGCCTCAGGAGCTGGGACCCTGGGCATGGCGGCCCCTCTCTTCCTTTCTCTGGGACCCACTAAGTGGCTAAGCTCAAACAATCAAATACGATTTGCAGCTTCGTGTTTGCAGGCTTGACCCGCATGTGTGATGAGAAGTGCTTGCAAGAGGCCCAGACCAGGAAGGGGCTGTGGACCCTGGGAGCCCTGGGTGCTGGGACGCAGGCTCCTAGCATATCATCGCCCCAGCTCTGCCCATGTCAGTGGCCACGTTCGGCACCTCCCACCTCCTAGGCCTCCCCTTCCTGACCACAAGCTGATGGTCACAGCCCACGATGGCTGTCCAGAACCAGGACTGCCACCCCAGGAGGGCCCGAACTTCACCACCACGCCCATTTGCTCCCACTCTTGCTAGAGCTCGGGTCCCACTAGGAAGATGAGGTCCGTCACTTAGCACGGGCCCAGCTGCTCGGTGGGACATCAGGCCAGGCAGCAAAGACATCACTTCAAAAGGGACTTGCCCACCGCCCGGGGGGTCTGCTCATGGCCAGGCCCTCTCCGTCCCCTCGAGGCACTCCCAGCGTCCCACAACCGCTGCCCTTCTGGGCCCTTCTTCCTCCTGACCCAGCTGGCCCCGCGGCCTTCTCTGGGAGGGGAGGCCAGCGAGCAGCAGCAGGAGAGGCTGTGGGGACGAGGGCCTGTTCTGGACGGCAGGTGCGAGGCTTCCTTCCGGTCTGTGGCCTGGGCGCTGGCCCCTCAGAGCCAGGGCAGGCAGGGCGGGCAGCAAACCCCCCAAACCCCAGGAAAGAACCAACCAACCTTGGTGAACTGGTGCACAATGATGCGAAGGCAGTGCCTCTTCATGTCCAGGGCCTGGGTCTTGTCAGCGGCCTCTAGAATCTGAGAGACACAGAGGTTGAGGCTGTCAGCACTGGCTGTGAGGGGCCCCCTTCCGCTGCCCACCCCAACACGTCACCCAAAGGACCCTCGGCCGGTACCTGGAGCACGTTCTCCACCGTCACGTTCATCTCCAAATTCTGGCGGCAGTAGGCCTGCAGCCGGTTGTTGTAGAAGCCGTAGTAATAGGGGGCTGCAAAGAGATAGCTGGGGGACGGTTAAGGAAAGCTGGGCCACCCCCGAGGGACCCTCTGCACGCACCAGGCTGGCCAGAGAGCAGAGAGGGGCCACGCTTAGAGGCTGCCTGCGGGAGGACGCGTGAATGGGGATGTTTTGGCCGCAGGTAAGCAGACTAGAAGGAGGGGACACTCTGCTTGGCATTAACACAGACTGAGCCGCAGGGACAAAGGCCAGGCCCCCTGCAGAAGATCTCCGTGAGCAGGGTGTCCTCTAGGAGACAGTGGTGCACACACCCCACACTCTGGATGACAAGGGGAGAGATAGGGCCAGCGAGCGCTGTACAGAGAGGGAGGGCTGCCCGTCCAGCCCCAAGGGGCCTGGAGGCCTGGGAAAGGAGCGCGACAGCCGAAGAAGGGGGCCAAGTCCCCGAGTCCAGGCAAGGAAAGGCCCAGATCCCCTGGTTGGCCAGGGCAGAGCCAGATTAGGCCCAGACCGTGGGCTCTCAGGGCCTGCAGCCAGCCTGGGTGGCTTCCCCCCAAGCCCCTCTCCTCTCCTCTCCCAGCCCAATGTCCGCCTCGAGCTCCAGGATACAGAGAATCCTCGGGGGGCATGTTCACTTCCCCATAGTAGATGTAGCGCAGCATGGATTCAAAGGCCTGCTTGCTGGGCACCATCTCCCCAATGGAGATGTTGACTTGGCCATCTTCAGGCATGAAGGACCGGAACATGGCTTCAAAGTAACTGGAAGACAAAGGAGGCCCGGCCGCCACTCGTGAGACCGGAGCCAGCGTCCCCACCCGCGGCGGCCATCCCTCCTGCCAGGCCCGGTCTCCTCTGTCCCCTCCACATGTGCCCACTGCACCTCCCGCCTCCCGCCTTCCACCTCCCTCCTGGGCCACGTCTCCGTTCATCATGTACCTGGAACGGGCAGCCAGGATGGCCTTATGAGCTGGGCGGGGGTGACCGTCCAGGAGGAGGGTGATGTCACAGAAATCTGTCCCTGCCCCCTCCAAGCAAGCCTTCATATCCTGGATCAGCGAGGTCCCTACAAGAAGGGGATTGGCATGAGGGTGCCCACATCCACGGGGCCCTGTCAGGGTGGCCCTGAGCCTGGGCTCCCTTCTGGGTGAGGCAGAGCCCTCTCGCCAGGACAGGAGCAGCAGGGCGACTTCTCAGTTTCACAGTCCCCAGGGACAAAGAGGATTAAACAGGATCCGGGGCTGTGCGGGCCCTTCTGATCCCATTGCGGGGGCCCAGAGGGGGCGTCATCATCGGAGGCTGTGGCTCAGCCCCCAACCTAGCAGCACCCCCAAATGGAGGCTTCCTGCCCTTGTGAGCTATTGGCTGGGCAGTGGGACAGCCCTAGGCACGGGAGAAGCACCCTCTGAGCTCCAGCTTCTTCATCTGTAAAATGGGCAGCAGGGGAAGGGCGGGGCAAACACCTGGAAGGAGCTTGTGGGGGAGGGGGGGCAGGGGCCCACCTATGTCCACGGGCTGCTCCGAGTGGGCCCGGATGGGCGGCTGCTGCTTCCTCCGCACGATCTCCACGATCAGGGAGGACGAGAGATGCTCAAACTCCTTCATCATGATCACCTGGTTGAAGTGGGACTCCTTCACCACAAAGTTCAGGCAGTGCTCCTGCAGGGCAGAGACATGGGGGGAGAGATGAGAGGCGTGGGAGAGACGAGGAGAGCAGAGAGACAGAGGGAAGAGAGCGGGGGCACAGGGGAATCCCTGCCGTCCTGCCGCGGGGCCTGGCCTGGAGTCGGCCTGTCCTTCTCCTTTGGGGGTGGCCTCAACATTGCTCCCTGAGCCTGGGCCTCCGGGCCCCCCGACTGCAAGGACTCTTCCTTCCTCCCTCTCCCTTCCCCCCTCTTGTTCTCTTAAGACCACCAGGACAGACCCCCCCCCCACTGCTTCCTGAATGAGCCCCCTTCCTCTAGGCTCCTGGTGATGGTGGGACCCTCTCCCCAGGGTCGACCGGAAGCAGTCTGTCCTGCTTCATGCTGACCCTGCTTCTCTCCGTGCCATGCCTGCCCCGCTTCCCCACCACAGCCCCTCCTCCCCGCGGGTGAGCGGCCCCTCTCTCCTGCTGGGCCAAAGTCGCCTCGGCCCCACATCCTGCCAGCCAGGCCAGTGCCGGCTCCGGGAGCGGGCAGCCGTGTCGCTCGCCTTGAGCTGGTCCAGCTGCAGCTTGTTGGCATTCTCACACACAGTGAGGACGTTCTGCAGGTCCACGGAGGCCTCGATGTACTGCAGGCAGAGCTGCTCCAGCCGGCACAGCTTGAAGCTCAGCGCCAGCTTGTAGACGTCCATGATGAGCAGCAACTCATGCACGTGCCCTGGCATTCACCAACGAGTCGGCTGAGCCCAGCCCTGCTCCCCGGGCTGCCTCAGCTTCCCTAGCTGTAAAACGGGGACCCTGACCACCGTGCTACCCGGTGCCCAGCACCCCTGGGGATGCAGGGCCAGGCCACCGGAGGAGCCCGGAGTGGCCGGGCAGCGGGCGGCCCTGTGACAGCACCCCACCACCACAGGAGCTCGCAGGAGACTGGCCGCAGACCCAGCAGGGGGCAAGGCTGCCTCCCTCAGCTCCAGGCCCACAGCTGCCTAGCTGTCTGGCTCTCCTGTCTGTCCCAAGGGGTCCAGGCCTTCCAGCCCTGACACCTGCTTCCCCCGGGGCTGGGGAAGGCCACACACTGCCTGGGCTCCCCACCAGGCCCTCCCTACCTTTACGCGGATACTTGATCTTGTCCGTGTACAGGAACTGCATGAGCACCTCGAAGGGCTGGGCCTCGGCCTCGCGGATCGCCACCTCCAGCAGAGAAGGCGGCAGAGGTGGCTTCCCGCCGGCCGGCCCGGGCCCCTCCTCCTCCGGCTCCGACTTGGATTTCTAGGCCCAAAAAAATAAGGAAGCAGAAATGGCAGCCTCTGCCAACAAACACCTATAGAGCCAGATTCCTGCCGTGTGGTCACCGGCAGCCTCAGTCTGCTCCCCTATAAAATGGAGCGACCCACCCTCTCACTTTCCCAAGGCTGTTGTATGTAAAGGGCACCAGCCAGCATTTTACATGTAGGGAAACTGAGGCTCGGAGGGAAGAGGTGACCAGGTCCCGCAACTCCAAACCCCCCTGAATTCCTATTGCCTGTGTCTGTCCCACGACGGGACCAAGGAAGGAGCAGGTGCTGGGGAGAGCACAAAGGCTCAGGCTGGAAGGGAAGAGCTAGAACCGGACTGGGGAGCACCGGGTCACACCACTCTGACAGAGCTCTTCCCTGGCAGGTACAGAAAACATTCCCATTCACAAATGTGGAAACTGAGGCTTGGGAGGGCATGTGACTGGCCACTCAGCGGCCAAGGCAGGCCAGCACCCTGGTCCTCCACGCTGCAGAAAATGCCTCTCCCCACCCTATGCCCCACAGTCCCCCAGAACCGATTCACAACCAGGCTTGGACGATGCAGACCGGCTCATGCCGCCCCCTGGAGCACTGGGGCCTCAGTGGGGGTCCCTGTGAGGGCCTGAGGGGCGCGGACAAGACAACCTCTGGGGGCCCTCTAGGGCTACATCTGGGGTGCTGGGCCAGGACATGCCTCAGCAGGGCAGAATCTCAGAGACGGACAGGACGTCGGCCACTCCTGAGACTGTCCATGCCCCCACAAGCAGCCCTGTAACTACACGTCCACTCCTGGGGCAGCCGTCCACTTGGGAACAGCTTCCAGCAGCTCCCAGGTTCTCTGACCTCCCGCTTAAACTGGGCCCTTTGCAACTCTGCCCTCCAGGGCCTCCCCCAGAGCCGATGATCCCCAGCTCCCCAGGCCCTGCAGGCTGAGCACACCCCATTCCTCCAGCCTCCCATTGGCCAATCCCCGGCTCATCCTGCTCCAGATACCCTCCGGCCTGCAGAGAGCCCCAAAGACGGGCAAAGACCCTAGGCATCGGGAGGAAGATCATCCTACGAGTGAGGAGAATGCGGATGGGCCGCCAGGCCCCCACAGCCGCCTGATTTGTGTGCTCCCACGCCGGCTCACTCCCAGCTCCCTCACTGCTTCTCGCTCGCTCACTGGCTCGTGGCAGGCAGCCTCCATCGTGTACCGGTGAAGTCTTCAGCTAAGTCTGTATTTCTCCCCATTCCTTCTCATCGTGGAGTCCCCCCATTCTAGACTGCTGAGCTCTCTGGGCTCTCCACTGTCACCCCAGAGGGAGCTCTCCCCGCCCTCTAACAACGCGGCACACATCCAGTGTGGGCTTTCATCCAGGGCCCTGACGAGATCCGGCAGCACCGCGCCCCACACTGACCAGGAGCTCCTCCTTTCCCGCTGACATGAGCTTGGCCACTGAACCAGGTCACTCGCTGTCTCACTGCCGGGCCACCGGCCCTCCCTCTTTTCCACAGTAATAGCATGATATACAAGGTCAGACGCTCTGCTAAAAATCGAGGTAACCTCTACCAATGGGGTTCTCCTGATGGACCCGGACCTGAGCCGCTCATCCCGAGGGAGCCCACTGGCCTTCACCGGGAATCCAAGGCGAGCTTGCTGGCCTATGTCCACTCTTCCCTTCTCTGAAAACCTGGTCCACACCTGCCCCACTCCAGGGCCGCAGCAGCTGGGATTCCCCCAACGGCGGCTCAACAATCACACAGCATCGCCCCAGCCAGGGCCCGAGAATGGGGCTCCTCCAGACCCAAGGAGCTAGCTTGGGAAGAAGGGCCATTTCTGCTCTGTCCCTTCTGGTCCACGAAATCCTGTTCTTGGTGGAGAAGCCACACCCCTGGTGAGCAGGCCTGCCGGGCATCCTCTGTGACAGGCGTGCCACCCACTCTGCGCAGCCCCTCTGACCCTCCACAGCTTGGCTCATTCTTAGCATTACGTTCCTGACGCTGTCCTTAGGGACCACGCCGCCTCAGCTCCCTGGCCTTGCCACCATCATCCACACACATTCTGTGAATATCTGAGCTGCCGAGCACCTCCGTGCGTCTCTTCAGGCAACCTACCCTTCACTTCCACATCAGAACAGGTCTCCTGGCATTGTCAAACTCCATTCTCAACCTTCTCTCCCGAGCACTGATAATGCCAATTAAATTATCGTTAGGGCCAGTCACCTGAGCCTACCTGTGCCACTCTGCACAAAAATCTCGCCAGGAAGTGGGACCTAACAGGAGCCATCCATCTCCGGACACCAAGCCGCGGTCTCTCTTCTTCCCGCCCAGCATCGCTCACAACGCCCAGATGACAATAGCTCTTCTCTGGACGACCACCAGTCTTCACTCAAACCCTCCCCCTACCAGCCCCCCCATCTTCTGACGGGAAATGACCTTTAAAGCCAACACATCCCCACCCCTTTAGTTCACAAGGTGACTGATCCCGTGCAGACGCCCCAAGGCCCCTGGCACCCATGCATCAGCAGCGCCGGGCCCGCGCTCCGGCCCATCCTCCGGACATCTGCAGATGGGCGCCTACACTTTATCACTGGCTGCCTCTGTGGAGTCTGTCTCCCCAGCTGAAAACTCTACAGGAAGGCGTGATGGGCTCGCCCTACTGACGGCCTCCTCCCTCCTTCCTGTTCAGGTTCAAGGCCTCTCACACGGGATCACGGCGCACCCGTCTCAAAGCTGGACAGGACCTTAGAAACTGAGGCCCAAATAAGGGAAGGCCTGGCGACGTGGGTGCCCGAATGCAAAGAAGCGCCGTGTGCTTGCCGCCCGGCTGCGCCAAGCGTGCGCTCCACTCCTGGCCAGAGGGACCCGTCACACCTGTGCTCAAGGCTGTGGCCTGTCCTCGGGGAGCATCGCCGCCGTGACCCAAGCGCCTGCCCTTGCTGGGGGCGGACATGAAAGTGTGCCGTGACCCAGACGGGCGTCTTCAGAATCACAACCCCTGGCAATGCTCTAGGTTCCTGCCTGCCATCCGCCACACGACAGAAAAGAATGTGACGGAACGCTTCTTCCCATGTCAGTCAGCAGAGGGGACGACAGCAGGAGGCCAGCCGTCACGTCCGCCACGTCCCGGATACGCAGCCCCAGCAGACCGCGGACCCTGGATCTCAGAAGAGTGCCCGTGGCCTCGGGCAGAGACCAAGCCCGGCTAGTGCCCTGGACTCACATTTTCAGAGGACAGCATCGCTGCCGGTGTTCGCTGGTCCTTCCCGTTCACCTACTCCACAGCATTCTATTTTACACACAGACACACAGACACAGAGATGCGCGCGCACACACACACACACACATACACACGCGCACACATACACACACACACACACACACACACACACACACTCCTCCTCCTCCTCCTCCTCCTCACACCGGTCACACCCACCAGGCCTCACAAAGCTTCTCTCTTTGTTTTCACACTAAATCCCTCCGTCCTAGTTTATAAAGTCCCTTCCTTCACACTAACGAGCCAGCAGGAGAAGCGGCATCCTGTTGGCCAGCCCTGTTAGGACGGAAATCGGCCTGCATTGTGGACCCCGGCTAGAGGCGTGTGGTGGAGACAGAAGCCACCCCAGCTATCCAGACAGGCTGAAAGGGGACTAGCAGGGTCCTTGTCATGCCTGCTAGCAGCTCCCTTAGAGACCTGGGAGAAGCCTCAGAACAGGGCATGTCAGAGCTAGGGGACGGGACCGTGGAGAAGGGACCGGTAAGTGATATGCCCTTCAGTCTTTAACTGCATCGGCCATCCTCTGATTTCACCCCTCTGAGGCAGATGTCCCCACGCCCATTTTACGGATGAAGACGCTCCAGGCCCATAAGAGTCTGAAGCAGGATTCCCACTCGGGTCTTTGTGCCCCAAGCTCAGAGATTCATCCCCTCTGTCCTTGCTGCCTCTAAGAAAGTGGCCGTGGGGCCGATGCTGCCGGGGATTTCAGAGGGGTGGAGATCAGCACTCCTGAGCAGCCCACTGCCCTCTGGAGGAGGCCTGGGATGGAAGCTGCCCCTCACCTGTCGCACTCGCTCCCGGGCCTGCATTATCTTCTTCCGAAGCCACTTGCAGCGTGCCGTGACGATTGCAATGTGTCCTCGGACCCGCTCCTCCTTCTGTCAGTGCAAAGAAAGCAGCCGCGTCAGGCTCCACAGGCGCCTCCAGCAGGCACCCTGTGCCTCAGGGCTGGCGCAGGCACTGTCCTGGGGACATGAGGTCAGTGGAGTTATCAGGCCTGGCGAGGCGCAGGGCCGAGGGCGACGGACCTGCAGTCAGTGAGCCGGGGGGTGACTGGCTCTGCCCACTACTACTGCCTGGGTCCCCTTGGGCAGGTCACGTGACACCCTGCACCTCAATGTCCTAACCCACAACATGAGGGCGATGGCCCTCGGGTCATCTGGCTCGGCTCCAGCCCGAAGCATGACCCCCACGCCCCTCGGCCTGACCCGACACCCTGCACCTCAATGTCCTAACCCACAACATGAGGGGGACGGCCCTCGGGTCATCTGGCTCGACTCCAGCCCAAAACATGACCCCCACTCCCCTCGGCCTGACGGTAACGCTGACCACGGCCACGTCTGACTTCCCACGCCTCTGGAGCACCGTCAGAGTGCCTACGCACTTCTCTCCCAGACCCTGTATGGCCGTGAAAGGTGCTCTGGCCCCAGGGGGAGGGGGAGGGCGAGGCCAGCAGCCCCTCACACCCACCTCTCCCAGAATGAACTCCACGTCACTGAACTGGCGGCTCTCCCACAGACGGCCGTAATCTTCGTGTAACGTACACTTTGGATAACAGGAAAACTGAAAGATAAGCGCCCCGTTGGGTGGTCCTCCTGGGCCTCCCGCCACGCCCTCCCAGATTGGAGCCTGGGGAACCCAAACGGGTCTCACGAGGTCTCCTCTCTGTGTCCAGCTCGCCAGCCTCCCCGGACACAGCGGCCCCACGATCACAGCACCAGAGCAGGAAGGCACCCTCTCACTGGACCCTTCCCACATACAGGAACACACCCCTCTTCCAGGCCTGACTAGATCCTCACCAGGGATGGGGAGCTCACTACCTTCCCAAGTCACCTCCTCTATCTCTGGGTAGTTCCAAATTTTAGAAAAGTTTTTTTTTTCCTATCAATTGAACCGCCCCCCCCCCCGCCCTTTCCTACCCCTTGCCCTGCAAAGCCCTGAGGAGTAAAGCTGACCCCTCCCACACAGGACAGCCCTTCAGAAATGTCCCCCTGGACTGGCATCCCTGGCTCCTGCTTCTCAGCATTCTGCCTAAAATGTGCTGCCCAAATGAAGTGACCCCCCAATCTTGGGCAGGGCTCAGGCCCGAGGTGACCCCCTCACCCATGAGGCCCACAGGAAGGCTGGCCCTCCACCCCGCCCACCAGGTGCTCCACACTCAGTCCCTACTCTTGGCTCTCCCTCCTCGTCCACTATCAGCGGCAGATCTGGGCCTCCCTCTCGGACCCTGATGTACCTGGGTGGAGGACAGAGCCCTCCTGGCGGGCAGGCCCTCAGAGGGACTGTCCTCTCCACCCCAAGTCCAGCCACCTGGCTCTTCAACTCGGCCCACGTCCCACCGTCCTGTCTCCAAGGGGGGCACCGGGAACGCTGCCCAGTGCTGCGCTGGGTCTCAGCCCCCCAGGGGGTCCTGACAGACCTCTCCTCTGCTGGTCCAGGGGCCTCAGGCCACACAGACGGGGCAAGCTCGGCTTCTTCTGCCACGTGTGACTACCGCCCCATGGGCCCCACAGCAGGGCCCAGCCCACCCCTGAACGCAGGTCCAGGCTGGTGTGCACCTGTGCAGATGCCCAGGTCAGAGGCCCGCCTGGGCCCTGCCCCTACTCCCAGCTACCTGAAATCTGTACATTTCACCGCTCCGAATGTTGTTGTCCACCGTCCCACCCAAATATGTACATGGCGTCCAGAATGACGGCGGCCGCGTGGAACAGCCTCCCACTGGGCAGCTAGGAGACAGGAGGAGAAAAGAGAGCCGGGGTGAGAAGGGCGAGGGAGGCTGAGCTGGGGCGCACCTGCCGCGCCCCACGAGCAGGGCTGAAGGCGAGGAGGTCTGGGCCGAGCGGGCAGGCCGACGAGGGAGGAAGAGGCCGAGGCCAAAGGCAGAGGCAGAGCCGTGGGGCCTGTCACTGATGAGGATCCGTCCTCAGGGGCTGCCCATTCAAGCCTCTCTGCCCTGAGCCAGGCTCTGTGGCCCTGGCGGCCTTCGAGGTTCAGGCCGGATGCCACCTTCTGTGAGAACCCTTCCCCAGCCCTCCGCTGGGGCCTCCCCTCCCTCTGCGGATCACATCCCGTTCATCACCAGCAGCTCATCAGGACATGGTCATTTCCCCACCAGACTGGGAGCTCCCTGAGGGCAGGGACAGGGTCTTTGGCCTTTCTTTGTATCGCCAGCCCTCAAAACAGTGCCTGGCACACAGCAAGTCAGTGCTGGCTGACTGAATGACTGACATCAGACCCTGGGCTGAGGCTCCAAGCCTTTCTGGTCAGTAGGAGCTGCCAAAGCTTTGGGGTTTCTACTTCGTGAGCCCAGCGTCCCCTCTCCCCAAGGGCACGAGGGAAGAAGGTCTTCGGAAGTAGAACGGAGAAGTAGCGGACAAAGGGGCCCTGCCCGGTGCGGATGGCTGGGCCTGACAGCCTCATCAGGGCCGGGGGGCAGGCGAGGGGCATGAGGGCGGGTACCCAGAGGAGCAGGCTGAGGGCGGGGGTGAGGCTGGAGGCCCCATGAGGCCGGGCAGGGGAGCAGCAATGGCAGAGGGGTAAAGGGCTTGGGAGACCAAGGGCCTCGTGTCTGTCCAAAGACGGTTTTAAATTCTGACACCCACCCAAAAACATGAGCATTTCCAAATACCCTCAGTGCTGCCGTCCAGCCGAGGGCCTGGTGCTTGACACCAGCTCTATTACTTATGACACACAAGACCTTGGGCGAGTCCCTGCCCCAGCCTGGGCCTCAGTTTCCTCCCCTGTCAAATGAGGGGCTGGGAGTTTAGCCATAAGGATTTGGGGACCCTAAAGGGTCATTCCCTCCGCCTTCAAAGCCCTTCCATCTCTAGATCCTGCGGCTGAAAAAGGGAGGCAGTACTATGCTCCGCTCCACATCGCCTGTCTACACTGCCCGGCTGCAGGCTTGCTTCCACCTTGACCCCACTCTCCTGGAAGCCTTCCCTCGAACCCCACGACCCCAGGAAGACGCCCCCTTTACCCACAGGGCACACATGGCTCCCAACAGAACCACCAGGAGACGTAAGCGGATAATTCCTAAAGAAGTCAGACGCCCCCAGGGTGGACAGCGTCAGGGAGGCCATGGGCTCTCGCCCCTGCCGCAGCCCCCTGCTGCCGCGCACAACACCATTACCTCGCTGTCGGGACTCGGCTGGATGACTTCCCAGGTCTGGAAGTCCACGTCGTAGCAGTGGAGCTCGTTGGGGAGGGTGTTGTCAGCCGCACCCCCAAACACATACAGGTGCCGGTCAAAGGCGACCATGGTGTGCCCGTACCTTCGCTGCGGAGGGGGCGGCGAGCCCCGAAGCAAGTGCTCCGTGGGGATCCGAGTCCAGCTAGGAGATGGGGAGGAGATGTCTATCCCCACGCAATGCCGAGCTCACAGACCCTCCCGGGGTTCCAGGCCCCTCGGAACTGCTAAGTCAGCGACATCGGCAAGCCAAGAGGCGGCTGAGTCCCGCCTCTGGCTCCAGCCTGCGTCCTGGGCGCTGCGCCTGACCCCCAGGCCTGGCGAACAGAGAACAGCCAGCCAAGGAGCCCCAATGGGTTTCTGGGAGCTCGGAGGCCTGCGGAGCAGGGAAGCCCCCAGCCACACTTACACTTTGTCTCTGAACTCAAACTGGAAGAGGTTATTGGTGATCTTGGCTCCACTCTGCCCCGAAAACACAAACATCTTGTCCCTGCACACAGCCACGGGGAAGTTACAGCAGGAAGGCGGGATCTCGCCACTCTGCTCGATCTGGGGACACGAGAGGGGCACAAAGCGGGTCACCAACCGGCACCGGGGCCGGGCAGGAAGACGCCACCGGCCTGCTCCAGAGCTTCCTAACTCCATGGCGCCGGGGGTGCCTTTGAAGCTTAAGCGGCGAGACCTGGACTGTGGACACCCAGGCCCCCCACACGGATGACCGGCGCAGTGGCCCCAGCACCATCCTGCCTCTTTACATTCCTGTCCCTGCTCTGCTCAGGGATCTCATCACCCCACCTGCCTCCTCTGGCCCCTGGCTGGTGCTGGGACCCCTCCCAGGAGCCCGGCCCTGGAGGCAGGAAGACCTGAGTTCAAATCTGGCCTCAGACACTTTGTAGCTGTGTCACTCTGAGCGAGTCACTTGACCGCTATTTGACTTGGTTTCCTCAACTGTAAGACCTTGGGGATAACAATAACAGTACGTGGGGGCAGCTAGGTGGCGCACTGGATACAGCACCGGCCCTGGAGTCAGGAGGACCTGAGTTCAAATCCAGCCTCAGACCAAACACTTGACACTTACTAGCTGTGTGACCCTGGGCAAGTCACTCAACCCCAACTGCCTTTAAAAAAAAATAAACAAATAGCAGTACTGCTCACAGGGCCGCTGTGAAGGCCAGATGAGAAGATTCCCAGTGCCTGACACGGTTACTAACATGTGACAATTACTACACAAACCCCAACTACCAGCGTTACCAGCAGGAATGATACCCATGCCAGCGTCCCCGTCGCCTCTGGGACGCTCTACAAACACCCGGTTATCTGCCGACGTCCTTCACGGTCTGGCCCCAGCCTCCCTTTCCATGCTGCCACCTCTGGCCTTCTCCCTCTTCTGCCCTCTATCTCCCATCTCCACACCTCTGCACCAGCCGGCCCCCATGCCAGGCACGCCATTCCCACTCCCTTCTACCTCAGAGAATCCGTCTTCTCCATCGAGACCCGCTCAAACCCCCGCTCTCCCTAGAGCCTTTTCCAATTCCCCCGGGTGACTTGCGGCCGCCCCCACCCCCAGTGACCCCGCACAACTGCTTCACTCTCAGCTGCATTTCTCCTCTTCAGCCTTCCTACGGGCCCAGGGTCACACGTACAAGGTGGGAATAGCTAGTTACACTTTTCTTCCTGTGTCTCATGACAACCCCATTTTACAAATGAGACAGCTGAGAGCACAGGTGACTTGGTCAAGGCCACAGAGCCCTTCCTGTTTGAGACAGGATCTGCACCCAGGGCTTCTCTCCCCTCCACCCAAGCCTGACCAGAAGGGTTCTCCACGGAATGGCCACACGGCCTCAGGCCAAGGCCAGGCCTCTCACCTCCTCCCAGCAGGTCAGTTCTCGGTCCTGAAGGCCGACAGTCCACATGTCATTGAGCCTGGATCGGAAGGGAGGGAAAGGGGTTCAGGCAGTTACACTCTCAGGCAGCCCCGGCTTGGCTCTGGCTGCCATCTTCACAGGGACCCCCCAGGGGCCCGAACCAGGCCAGGGAAGGAGCCGGCCCAGGTGGGAGCAGAGATGGTGGCAAGAGCTGGGGCACCCACCACCCAGCCTGGAGGCCGGCCGGGCCTGCCATCCCTGCCAGGACCCAGAGCGCAGCACAGCAGGCTGCTCCCCTGAGCCCCCAGGCGGGCCCAGACCATGGGAGGGCCCCTCGCCCCCCCAGGGTGTACAAGGGAGAGAAGCCCAAGGGGACAGAACGGCTGTCTTCAGGCCTCTGAAGGGCTGACACAGGTCACACAAAGGCGGCTTCCAGAGAACCGAGCTGACCCAGAACAGAACGGGACACGTGGGGAGGTGATGAGCTTCCCGTCCCAGACGAAGCCCAGACACCCTCTCCAAACAGTGGCCGAGGGGATTCCTGCTCAGGCTCAGACTCAACCAGCCCCCCGGGGCAGGAGAGCTCCCTGGGGGCCAAGTGGGGCCTCTGACAAATGCCACAGAAACACCACAGCCTCGTAGGACCGAGGGCAATCTGAGGGCACGGCCACGGCTGCTCTGCCACTCGGCAGTCCCACTCTCACGTACCGGGCATTGCCGTCATAACCCGCAAAGATCCACAGCTTGTCGCTGTACGCAGTCGCTCCGTGCGCTGACCTCGCCACCGGTAACCTGGGGGGGCCGAGGGACATGTGAGGGCAGGTCACTGGCCTCCCAGGGACAGCGCCTCCTCATTCCTCACGCTGTGTCGTCACAGGCCCTGGAGGCCTCCAAGGGTCTGCCCACATCCAAACCCCTGACCCAGGCGGACAGAGCGCCGGGCCTGGAGTCAGGAAGACCTGACTTCAAAACCTGCCTGAGATACTTCCTGTGTGACCCAAGGCAAGTCACATGCCTGTGTGCCTCAGTTTCCTCAACTGTAAAAGGGACCTAACAGTCCCTGAAGGGTACACGTGCCACGACGCAGGTTACTGAACACCTCAAAGCTATGCATTGTCACTCAATCGTTCCATTCACATCCGACCCTCCGCGACCCCACCTGGGGTTTTCTTGGCAAAGATCCTGGAGGGCTTGGCCTTTTCCTTCTCCAGCTCATTTTTCAGATGAGGAAACTGAGGCAAACAGGGTGTGACTTGCCCATGGTCACCCAGCTAGGAAGTGTCTGATTTGAACTCAGGTCCTCCTGACTACAGGCCCGGCGCCCTATCCACTGGGCCACCCAGCCGTCCCCAAAAGCGCTATGTAGATGCCGGCCCCACGCCCTGGACCGGACACAGCCACCCTGGGCACCCCAGCTGACCGCCGTCTCCGTCCTCCCTCCCACCACGTCCCCTGCCCCTCCCACAGGCCCCTCTGGCTCTGCTCTGGTTTCCTGACGTTCCCTTCCCGGAGCCCAGTGGAGGAGGGGCTTCGGGTCCAGCTCTGGCTCGCTGGGAGGCCCTCTGCGAGGCACTCGGCCCATTCCCCAGCCTCAGCTTCCTCTCCTCTCACACGGGGCTGGGTGCGTGGGGAGCCAGGGCCGCGTCCCCCGAGGGTCCCACTTGTCCCCCCCCTCCAGACAAACCGCCCAGGGGCAGGGGGCTCGTGTGAAGCCGGCCCCAGGGCCCCGCCCTGCCCAGGCCCCCAGCCACACTCACCGCCCCTCAATCTTCCACTCTGCCCACTGCCCAGTGGCAAACTTGTATTCAAATAGGTCATTCTTGTTCTTCAAATTGGAATTCGAGTAAATGTCGCCAGTATAGCCACCTGTGAAGACAAGCTCTATGAGCCTCCAGATGGAGGCCAAGGGGGAGCCCTGCTCCTGCAGACTGAGGCCCAGCTTCCAATCCCACTGGGGAGCTCTGGGCCACCTGCATCCCCTGGAAGGCCTCTGATGCCCCTTCTGCATCTCAATCTGTGATCCAGACAGAACTGACAGCCTTGGTAGTGAGTGAGCCCCTTATCACTGGAAGTATCCAAGGTGAGCGTAGCGGGGCACAGACTTTAGGGAAGAGCTGGTCTCACCCCAGGAGGTCCGCTCTCCCCCAGGATCACACAGCCCCTGCAGCCCCAGGTTCAGGAGGGGCCCCTCTTGACGGATGAAGAACAAACATGCTTGAGGCCGAGCCCCCGGCCCCAGGAGCCCCTGAGATGGGCTGATAAGCACAACACCCCTCCCAGGCCTGACCTGGAAGCCGGGCCCTCACTGGGGCCAAGGGCGCACCCCGGGGGCTTTGGGCAAAGGCCTACAACTGGAAGACAGAACCCAGAACAAGGCCCAACGCCCTTTCGCTCACTGCGCCTCAGTCTCCTGATGCATAAAGTGGGTCAACAATCCTGGCACAGTCCCTCCCATCATGTCAGGTCAGGTGGGCCCCTGAAGCACAGCCCCACTTGGCCCTCACCAAACACAAACATGCTGCTCCCATAGACAACGGCTGAGTGGTGATAGCGGGGGGCTGGCGGTGTCCCCGTGGTGAAGGCCCTAGAGAGAGGGGGGGCAAACGCCATCAATGCCAAACACGTGGCGGGCACACCGGGGTTTCTAGATGCACCAGCAGAGAGAACGAAATTCTGCAGTAACATGTTTGAAATTGAGCCCAGGATGAATTGGGGCCAGGGGCCTGGGGGCCAATGGGAAGGCAGTGTCTTGCCGCAAAAGCCCACATGTGGACGACCCCAAGGAGCCTCAGCAGGGGACCAGAGAGTGACAGAGGTCCAGGAGCAGGGGACAGGGACAAGAGCAGGGCTGAGGGTCTCAGAGGCTGGAGGGTGGGAAAGCGGCCGGCCCCAGCGCCAGCTCTGACCCTGGGGGAGGCGTGCCCAGACGGCAGCATCCGGCCTGGGCCCAGCCCTGGGATCTAGAACTGCCTAATGGACGTCTCCACGTCAGCACCCCAGCCTGAGAGGCCTTTCCTCCTCCCCCTCTACAATCCTAGCCAGCCTCAGTGCCACCCCCTCCCACCTGCCCTGGGCCCACCCACCTCCCCCTTCCCTGAACTCCCACAGGACAAGTCTGGTCTAGCCTGCTCTGTGCCATTGGGGGCCAGGCCAGGGGCCAGGATGGGGCTGGGGGCCAGGCCGGGGCTGGGAGCCCGAGCTGGCAGCCCAGGGACCAGGGAGGGGCTGGGGGCCAGGGGGCCAGGGGCCAGGATGAGGCTGGGGGCCAGGATGGGGCTTGAGGCCAGGATGAGGCTGGGGGTCTGGGCCACGGGCCCAGGGGCCAGGCCGGGGCTGGGAGCCCAAGTCAGAATGGGGCTGCTTTACCGCTCCCCACCCCCACAGCAGGTTAGGGCAGGCTAGCGCAAGCAGGGGGCAGCCGGGACGGCGGCAGCCAGAGCCCACCTGCACCAGGAGCAGTCCTTGACGTCAAAGCGCAGAAGGTCATTCAGCATCGTCTTTCTGAAAAGAACACGGCCAAGGTGAGAAGGGAGACTGACCTCAGAGAGGCCACGTGGTAGTCCACAGAGACCAGGCGTTGCTCCTGCTCCTCAGGGCCCTGAATGGGGAGCCAGGTTTAGATCCCGGCTCAGCTGCTTTCTCCCCAAGTCAGTCTGGGCAGATGGCTGCCCTGCCTCAGTTTCCTCACCTGTAAAATGAGGCGGACTGGGCGTCCCCCAAGGTCCAGACCTGCCCTCCCACCATGAGAAAGAAGGGGCCGAGGCCACAGGTCTGCCAGCCGCCCTCCCCGGCCCTGGCCAGCTCTCTTCCAACTCTCTCGGACTCAGTTTCCTTCTCTGTCCGGGGAGGCCTTTGGGGGCTGGCCATTCCAGATCTAAAAGCACTTTAGTACACCTGGCATCTCTTCTGCCTGGGATGGGCAGCACATTATTACAAATGAGGAAACTGAGTCAGGATAAAGTAAAGGGTCTCCTATAAGAAGGGCCCCTGAAAATGACAGGGGGAGTGGGGGCGGGGAGAGGGAAGGGAGTAGAGGAAGAAACCCCCGACGTCCATCTCCCAGCCCCCCCTCGCTCACCTACCCGTTGTCGCCTCCAAACACGTAGATGGCATCTTTGTAGGCCACCACCGTGTGCTTGCTGCGCCTGCCAGAGGAGGAGGGCGGGGTCAGGGCAAGGGCCAGGGAGGACCCCTGCTGGGAGACCCCCCCCCAGCTGTGGCTCGGCCAAGCCCTCCCACCGCCCCGCCCCTCCTCCAAAACTCTGGCCTAGCCCCGCCCCTCCACGATCACGCCCCTCTCCCCTCCAGAGCCTCCGCTGGCCCCGCCCCCTGCGCAAGCACGCACCGTGCGCCCACGAACTCGTCGCAGGGCGGGAGGCGGCGCCATCGGTGCACAGTCTCGAAGGGTCCAAAGTTCAGGGTCAGGTACTCCACGCTGTCCGAGCAGCTGTGGTCGAAGTCCACGCTCGGGGCCACCTTGGGTCGCGCAGCTGCAGCAGGTCCCGCAACAGAGGCCGAGCCCGAGCCGGAGCCCGAGCAGCCTCCGCCCGGAGCCGCCGCCATGCCCTCTCCGCCCCCCTCGGAGCCCCGCCCGCGCCTCCCAGTGGCCCCCGCGTCAGGACTACGGCTCCCAGCAACCCCTTCCCACGTAACCGATACCGGCTCCTGCAGAGGATACGCGCAACGACTGCTGGGAAATGTAGTCCGGTCTGGGGCGCGAGGACCGCCGGGAGGTGGAGCCTGAGCAGGTGTGGCCCGCTCCACGGCGGCGTGACTTCATTCCGGAAATGTAGTCTTCCTGCGCCTGCCGGTGCCTGCTGGGAGTTGTAGTCAATTCGTGGGTTTTCTGTGAGTGGCATTTAGTGCTTGCTACCAAGAGCCCCGTGGCTGCAGGGAGGTGGAACCTGACGGGAGCGCGGAGCACGCCGGGAAGCGTGGCTGGAAGCTAACACCGAGTAGTTCTTCCCACTGCCCCTACTAGGGCGTCAAGAAGCATTCAGTTTTCATCCTGTCTGCCTTGCATACATTGACTTCACTTTCTTGTAATCCTTACCTTCAAGGCCCTACTCTGGCCACCTCCTCTGGGAAGCCTTCCTTGATTCCGCCCACTTATTAATGCCTTCTTACATCCAATTACTTTGTGTTTACTTGTTGGTTTGCGTGTCATATTCAATTGGAATGTTGAGGGTGGAGTAAAGTTCCATCCATCCATCCATCCATCCATCCATCCATCCATCTGTTCATCCATTGTTTATTTAAAACTACTGTGCCAGACACACAAACCCACATGCCTTCCTTCTGCCTTAAGGGGGGGAGGGGCGGGGTCATGGTGGAGGTAGAAACCACCTCCCCCCACCCCAGGGTCACTCGGCCAGTCTCCTCAATCCTGGTGCAGGGCTCACTGGACCACCCTGCCTCCCTTGGGCTGAAGGAAGAACCCAGGCAGACGAGGGGGAGGGGAGCCTCATGAGCTGACCTGCTGACCCCTAGATGGGAGGGGGCTCCGGGAGACCCCTTCATCCAGTCCCAGACGAACCTTCAGCCTGTGACTGGCGAGAAGCAAGCAGACTCACACCCAGGCCCCCTGCTCCAAGTGCCTCCTTGTACCGAGGCCGTTGAGGCCCAGAGCTGGGACAGACTTGCCCCAGGCTGTCCAGCCCAGACCTGACTCCCAGTCCTGTGCAGCACTGCCTTCATTAAGTGCCTGCTGTGTGCTGGGCACCGACCTAGGCTCCGGGGACATGTACAAACCAGCTCTTCCACTGGAGGAGGCCTCAGTGCCATCCTAAAGACCGCCAGTGGTGGGGAGCTCACTAGCTTTCCCTGCTTTACAATGACCATGGCCAGGAGCGGGCCGAACATGGCCTTTCAGAGCTCCCTGGTTTGGTCCTGGGGGCCAGACAATCCCCCTTTCACGGGCCAGTCCTTCCAGTATTTGTAAATGCGCCTCATGGGGATGCAGAACCCCCTGAATTTACAGGGAAGGCTGTCAGAGGCTCCACGCAGGCGGTAGCTCGCTGGATTGGGGTCAAGATGCAGGCCTGAGGCTCATCTCAGACGCTGGCTGTGCCCCTGGCTATGTTATTCTCTCCCTATGGTCTCAGCTTTCTCATCTGTAAAATGGGAGGATAACAGCACGAGATAATGGGTGTAAAGCAGAGGTAAGCCGTGGGTGTGGGTTCCTGGGAAAGCTCTGAGGCAAGGGTGGGGCTGGGTAGGAGGAGGCCCTGCCAAGGGATGGTGAGCAGAGGGCACACTCACAGGTGGCCGGGTCCTCAGGCTTGCTCCTGGCCTCATAGGACAAAGCTCAGTGACCACTCATCATCCCCCTCCCACCCAAAGGGAAGCTGGGAACCCCCAGCCCTTGCCACCCGGGTGACCTTGGACAGCTGGACCTCAATATCCTCATCTGCAGCATGGCCTCATTGGGCCACCTCACACAAAACCTCCTGCTCCTGGCAGAGAAGCCTCCTTTGGAGGCCGCAGCCCCCCCCCCCGGGCAGATGCTGGGACCCTCAGTGGGTCAAAGGCCAACAGCGCCCAGGCAAGCCTGGGTCCCGATCCCAGCCTGGCCACTTCTGAGCTTGGCCAAGACACACCCTCTGAACCTCAGTTGTCTGAAACAGAGCCAGTGTGGTAACCACTCCCTCAGCAGGGACAAAGGGATGGAGGTCCTGCGCCCAACAACAGCATTCTGGAAGAGCTCGAACTTGGATCTCCACGATGCCATCTTCCCATTAGGAGGGCCATGTTCACATACCAGCTCAACCATTTGCTAGCTGTGTGACCTTGGACAAGTCACCTCCTTCTCTGGGCCTTGGTTTCTGAACTTGTTTAAAAACAAAGGGCAGGGGGGTTATGATTCATAAGGTGCCTTCTAGCATGCTGTGAGTTCTGAAAGGTCCCCGAGCAGTGAGGGTAGCTGGGGAGTGGGCCTGGACCCCTGGCCTTCTTCCCTACAAGATCAGAGAGCCAGCTGTCTCTGCCTCCCGCAGACTCGCACCCAAAGGGTGAAACTCTAGAGGGTCCTGCCAGGCTTGTGGCCACACCCCCGGCAGGACGGAGAAGCCACCCCCTGTGGGGCTCTGGCAGCGCCGCGTGCTGCTTTCATTCTAAGACACCCGGGGGTCCCTGGGTCAGGGGCTCCCGGGAGGCGGGGGGGGGGGGTGGAAGCCGCACGATCCACAGGCAACGTTCTGCTCCGACACAAAATTAGATTTGTTTATTGACTATTATTGCTTGGTCTGTCCGGGGGGGGGGGGGGGGGCCTGCCCTGGTTTCCAAAGCCAGCAGTGCCTGGAAAGAGGGGGAAGGGTCACCCGCTGACCCTGGGAGGAAAAATCATCCAGAAGGACGTCAGAGATTAGCTTCGAGGCCCTTTCGTTTACAGGTGATTCTGCCAGAAAGGCAGAACCCACGCTCCTGAAGGCGGCCGGGGGCGGGTCCCGGGGCGGGTCCAGGGGGGTGGGGACCGGCAAGAGGCAGGCGTGGCCACCAGAGGAGAGACGGGGCGAGGGGGTTGCTCCGAGCTCCTTCTGTGCCGCCTCCAATGCTGGCAGAGCCGCGTCAGGAATCGGCCGGCGCCCCACGCCACTGTCAGGTCGCCCCAAAGTTCCCAGAGGAGCTAGAGCCCCCGGACAAGAGTCGGCTTTGCAGCAGGAGACAGGCAGGCTAGATTCTGCTCAGAGGGAGAGACTGGGGAGGTGGCGGGTTTGGCAAGAGTCTGAGTGAGCAGCTGCCCACGTCCCGGCCCGCTGGGTGTTCAGTAGCCTTTGCCCGTCAGCCACGACATGTCTCCCGTCCTGGAAAAGAGAGTTGGTGCTGCTTCACTTGGAGGCTCTGAAGGATGAGGCCAGACATCTGCCCCCAGCCCTCCTCACTTCCAGCCCGGGGCATCCCGCAGCTGCTCTCCTGAGCTCCCAGTTGGCGCTGCCTTACCTCCTCCCTGGGGCCAACTGCTCTGCCTGGACACTCATTCCCATCCCGCCCACTTTGGGGAGCCTCCATCCGATGGTTCCCACGCCCGCTGGCTTTCTGCTCTCAGCCGGAAACGTGCCCAGGTCTCTGACATGCTGGGACTCCATCCCCGCCCCCCTTCTCCTTAAAGTTTCTGAAAAACGTCCTCTGTGTCCAGTGCTTCCACGTCCTCACCTTCCACCTCTCCTTGACTCCTGGCAATTGAGACTCCGACCCCATTCCTCAAATGAAACCCTTCTCCCCCACGTCACCACTCCGGCAACCCCCCAATCCAATGGCCTTTTCTCAGCCTTCTGTCTTGCCGTCACGATGGCTCTGAATTCTGCATTGCCAGAGCTCAGATGTGGAGGCGACCCCAGAGGTCAGCAGGTCCACCCGAGAGCTGAGCAGCTGTCCTCGACAGCTGCTCCAACATGTGGGCACCAAGGATGGGGACCTCACTACCTACTTTTGTCATTGTCCAGAGACACTGTAGAAGGGGCCTTGTCTCTGGAGTCAGAGGACTTGGGTTCAAATCCAACCACAACTCTTGTGACCATGGGCAATTCACTTCCCCTGCCTGAGATTCAACTGACTTATCTGTAAAATGGGAGGGTTGGAGTACGTGGCTCTCCCAGGCCATCTTTGGGTGACCCCATTGGCTCCTATGGGTCTAATTCTCTGTCTCTCCAGCCTCAGTCTCTCTCTCGAGCTCCGCTGGTGCATCACCAACATTTGGACACCAGCTCGTAGACGTCTCCAGCCCCACAGCCCATGCACCTCTCGAACTTGGTGTGTCTCCTTCTCCCTGGCCTGCAGCCAGCCCTCCTCTGAAATCCTCTGTCTATGGGGAGGGCACCACTGCCCTTCCTCTCATTCACATCATTGGCATCTCCAGTCACATCTTGTCTCATCTACACCCCTGCTCCCGCTCCCACAGCCGCCCCCTCATTCAGTCCCTCCTTACCTGATCCCCTCTCATCTGGCCTGGTGCAGGAGCCTTCTCATTAGACTTGCCTGCCCAACCCCTCCTCTCATTCTGATTTTTTTTTTTTTGCCCAGTCACACAGCTAGTGAGTGTTATGTGTCTGAGGCCACATTTGAACTCGGGTCCTCCTGACTCCAGGGCCAGTGCTCTATCTACCGTGCCACCTAGCTGCCCCTCTCACTCTGATACATCTCATGCTGTGCTCCCAAAGTGATTCTCCTATAGCACAGGGCTGACCATGGAGCTCCAGAAGCTCCCTGTTATCTCCAGGACCAAATATGATCTCTGCTTAGCTTTTAAAGCCTTCGCAGTCTGGTCCCAACCTGTCTTTCCAGCCTCATTGGATGTCACGCCCCTTCCTGCTCATTACTGTCCAACCAAACTGGTCTTCTCACTGTTCTTCCCACAAAACTCCATCTCTCACCTCCAGACCTTGAGCTAGAAGGGACCTTGCAGGTCATTTAGTGCAATCCTTTCATTTTTACAAAGAGGGAGACTGAGCCCCCAAGGGGGGAAGTGACTTGTCTGAGTGCCAGGATTTGAACCCAGGTCCTCTGACTGCAAACTGTGGCCACATTTCCACTGATCTAAGATGCCATCAGTGTGGGTAATCCCCCTCCAATGCAGTAGATCATCAAGGCTGGGGCAGGAGGGGAGGGCATGGCATATGGACAATTCTGAGAGCTGTCCTGCTTGACCCTCTCCTGCATTTGTCCAGCTGGTTCCCAGAACTCTGACTCATCCAGCCCTTCACTGGGACACCTGGAAATCTGAGCTTGGGAGGAGCCATGTAAGCTTGGAAGACCCTGAACCCTGATCCCCTGTCCTAGGGCCCCATGGACGGGCAGCAGGGGGCAATGGGAGCTGCCATGACACTCATGGGCATTACTGAGGCAGTCAGGAAGGTGCCAAGAAGGGAAACATACTTGCCAAGCCGAACAAAGAGCCTTAGGATGTGAAAGCAGAGGAGAGAGACAGAGAAAGAGAAGAAAGAAAAGTCGTCATTAGGAGCCCCAGCTTCTCCCCCAGCAGCCTCAGGGCGAGGCTCTCATTGCTTTTGGGTCCTTCCCCATTCCTGGAATCCAGATCTTGCCAAGGTTCTCAGAACCTCACCCCACCCTGGGCCGCCTCTGCAGGGGTGATGCCGAGAGCCCAGCATGGAAGCAGAGGTGGGAGAGGAGGGGGGCCATGGATGCCCTTGGATGAAGGGCAGTGATCCTGTTGGATTCCCAGCCCCCCTCCCCAGAGTGTCCAGTGGTCTCCAGCCTTTCCCTGGGGCCATGGCTGAGGGCGAGGAGCCTCAGCTCCCACAGAGAGAGCGTGGATGGGTTTTGTCTAAATGCTCCCACGGATGTCCAAGTGTGTTCTGTCCTTGTTCTTGGGTTGTTCTATGTTACAATAATCCGTTTGTGCTTTGTCCTCACCCCACTCCAAGACTGTGCACCCCATGAGGGCAGGGACTGTGCCTCATCTGAACTTTGAGCACATACACCATACACGCACACACATGCACATACAGACACACATGTGTGCACATACACACACATATACATACTTGCATACACACACACACACACACACACAAGCTCTGAGCACAGTAGATACTCTGAGAAGGTTGCTTTGTTCACATCGAGGTGTTGTGGCCTCCTGAGTCTTCCTAGGTTTTGATCTCATTCCTTGCCCTGTTCTCTCTGGAAGGGCTCGAGGCCATCTGCAGACCTACATGGTTCTCCGCCCTCTCCCACATCCAGATCATTGAAACCAACATTCCACAAAACAGCCAGGCCATGCCATCGATGCCTGGTGGAGCCCACTCTTTGCTCTCTGTATGTCCCTGCCTTGTGTTTGCTGATTCACAGCGAGGGCTGGGGGCTGTGCCTACACAGACCCTCCTGACCCCACATTGACCGGAGTCTTTTCTTAGGTGGCTACAGATAAAAGGGCTAAGGAAGAGCCTTTACCCTCATGGAAGGGCAGCCAGCAAGGCGGCTCTAAGACGAGCGTGGTGTCGGACCACCCTACCCCAGTCTCTTCCCCACAAGCCATTCAACATTTCGAGATACAGTGGAGGATGCCCTCTTCATTGCACCAGATCCTAACTCCAAGAAACCTCAGTAGATGGTCTTCATGAGATGTTGGAACCAAAAGAATTCATTCTCTGATAGCCAACCCCTTTGGGCTGAGCCCCCCAAGTGAGGCTGGTTCTCAGACACTGGACGCCCAGTTGACCATCGTCCTGGACTCAGTCTTACCTTCTGAATGGGTGACCTTTTGAGCTTCTCTCCAATCAAGGGCAGAAAGACCCTGGTACCTGAGCCCTCTGCCATGAGCCCACATAGAGGGGCTATTCATTGGCCCAGCTAGTGGTCATCCTAGGCCCCAGGATGGGAAGGGGGAGACACACAGATGCCTCTACTCACTCCACATCTCGCTTTCGGATTGTTCTCCCCGAGGCCAGGACTTCAGCCACTTTGGAGACAATTGGGTCATAGTTCATGCTTGCCACAGCAATCACCTCATCATTCCTGTGAGGAAGAGCTGGGTCAATGTCTGGGGGGTGGGGGAGGTCTTCCCAAAGCTTGTCCCCCTCCCCCTCTCACAGCTGGCAAGGGTCAGGGGGATAGAAGTGGTCTTCCCAAAGAGGGTCCCTCTCCCCCCCTCACGGCTGGCAAGGGTCAGGGGGGTGGGAGAGGTCTTCCCAAAGAGGGTCCCTCTCCCCCTCTCACAGCTGGCAAGGGTCAGGGGGGTGGAGGAGGTCTTCCCAAAGCTTGTCTCCCTCCCCCTCTCACAGCTGACAAGGGTGGAGGGGGGTGGAGATGGTCTTCCCAAAGCAGGCCCCCTCCCCCTCTCATGGCTGGCTAGGGTTAGGGTAGAAGTCACCAGGGACTCAACTCACTTGGTGTAAAAGGCCACAAACTTCAGCTCATCCAAGTCCCCCTGGATGATGACGTCATCAAACCCTTCCCCGTACCCTGGGAATGGTCAGGGGACAGAAAGGTGACCAGTGAATGGCAGAGCCAGGATGCAGGTACTACCCTCCCTTTCTCCCCCAGATCCAGCTGTGAGGCTCATTTCTCCTGCAATCCTGGCCTGCCACGGCCAGCAGTGATCCCCACACATGCTCATCTCCCTTCAGCTGGGATGGGCCTATGGGGATCTGAAGGGCCATCCTGGGGAAAGCAGGCTAGCCTTGTCTGCTTGTACCCAGAGGGCACAGCAAGGAGCCATAGTGGGAAGGGGGACATTCAGAGAGGTAGGCTTGGGTCTGGGGTCAGGATGAGTCTCCCAATGACAGGACTCTAGGGAAATCAACCAATCAGCCAACCCAACAATCATCCCAATGGAGCACTGACCTTGGAGTCAAGAAGACCCGAGTTCAAATCCTGTAAGACACTTCCCGGCCATGTGACCCTAGCAAATCATCTAACCTCTCTGGGCCTCCCCGAGATAGAGGGGCGGACTCAGTGTCCTCTGGGCTCCCTTCCAGTTCTAAATCTCTGCTCCCCTGATCCTCAGTGAAACAAGCCCTTATCTCAAGGAATTTGTGGCTTAATGGAATGTGGCCCGAAGGTTAAGAGTTTGACAGGAGCTCAGAGGTCGCCTGGTCCGAGCCTTCCTCTTGCAGAGGAAACTGAGGCCCGTGGACGAACTTCACCACCCGAAGTCTCACAGAAGAGCTAAGCCAGGCAGGAACCGGGTCCGCCAGCACCAGACCTCCCCATCTCTCCATCACCCCCTGAGACCTGTCACCACCGGGCAGAATCTGGATCTAGGGGGTGGGGTTACAGAGAGGCAGACTTCAGGCCGTCTAAGCAGGGCCTTTCTAAGCTTTTTAAAAACTGATGGCCACATTTCAATACAATGGGCTTCCTTTGTAATCTCACAGATTTTGTTTTAGGCATTTAACAGCAGGACTCCGAGAAGCCAGTCCACCGCACAAGCCAGATAAGAAGCCCTGCCCTAAGGGAAAGCTCGTTGCTGCTCAGAGCTGTCCAGCAGGCTGCCCCGGAGAGGGTCAGCTCCTCTGCTCAAGACCAGGAGCAGCAGGGTCCCTTCCGTCTCCAACTCTGGGGACTGGGAGAGATTCTAAGATTTGTTCCCCACACCCATTCCCTTCCTGGGGGTGGCCGGCTGGACTGGTAGCTCCCTGAGGGCAAGCTCAGCGGCCATCTCCTGATTTGCTCAGGCTATATTATAGCCCTCCAGTTTGTCTCGCCACCTGGTTCTCCCACCTTCCCTCCCTCCCTCCCTCCTTCCTCGTCACTCAAGGCCACTGCCCGTCCCCGGAGACAACCAGCCCCCAACCATAACCTGTGTAACGGATGCTTTTCCCAAACATGGCAGTCCAGAGGCAGGGCACAGTACTGATCTCGGCTTCCTGGGCCAGCATGTTCTGAGCCGCCACACGCCCTGGTGGGGGGAGGAGGCCCATGAGGACCAGGACACCAGCCCGGCAAGTGGCCCCCAGGTGGCTTTGCTAAGCCCACCCCACCCCTGGACAAGAGGGTATTACAGCTGCGAGAAACTGGGAAACAGCCCCTGACGAAAGCCTTCCACATGCATCTCATTTATACATAGTCGTTTACGTCACACTGTGAACACCCTGAACTCAGGGGCTGTCTTTTGCCTTTCCCGGGCACTTAGCCCAATGCCTGACACATACTAGGTACTCCAATATATGCTTACTGACTGACAAACAAAATCTTCTCCAGCTATGGACCAGGTTCTCCACTGGCATCCCCCTTCTGTGTCTTGGGCAGATGGCCCTGAGTTCTCGAAGGTGATCCCAAGTCCTGTACATTCCTACCATGCCAGAAAGGCTTCCGGTACACACAGATGGACTCTCTGTCCCTCATCAAAGCCAAGCTGGGATAAATGCATCATGGCGCAGTGCCAGAAGGCTGGCCACAGGGGCATGCAGATTCTGGCCACCGACACTCATGAAACCATCTGCTAAGACATGGAGGGAGGTGTCTGCTCTGATGGATGGGGAGACCCTTTGACCAAGGGCAAGCCATGGTATTTCTGTCCATGCAAGACTGCTTCTTAGCAAATATTCAAAGGCTTGGGGGGGGGGGCATTCTCCCTACCTCACTGAGCCTTGGGAGGGGAAAAGGGAAGGGAGAGAGTAAACAGATCATGCACACCTTTCCCTGAAATGTTTGTTCGTGCCTGAAATTTAAGGTCTTGTTAAAAGTGTTAAAAACCCCACTCAGATTTCTGACCAATGACTTAGATGAAAAGTTCATCCATCACTTCATTCATTAATTCATCCATCATGTATTCATCTAGCTGTCTATTCTATCCCCCAATCCAACCATCCATCATCATCCCAATCATTTATTGACCTATATCTCCATTCATCATTCACCAATCCATCCATCTGTCTCTTCTCCCCAATGATTCGTCCATTCATCAGCAGCACATACATTACTTCATCCATTCATTTATTGCGGTCTATGCAGCCATCTGTCCATTCTACCCATCCCTTTACCTATCTGTCCATCCATCCATGACTCCCTGGACCCCCCCATAAGTGCCCCCTTCCTTCCTCCCCTCCCCTCTGTGTCATCTTCCCCCATTAGAATGGAAGCTCTTTGAGGACAGGGATAGTCTTTACTTTTGCTCACATCTGTATTGCCTGTACTTAGCACAGTGCCTGGCACACTGTAATCACTTGATAAATGTCTTATCCATCTCTCTATTCACTCTTCATCCAATTATCCACCCACTTGCCTATCTGTTTATCCAGCCACCTATGCACTCACATCTATCAATCCATCCACCCATTCATCCGCCCCATCCTGGCTCTCTCCAGGTGCTGGGGCGTACTCTCTAGCCTCCACCTCCGTCCAGCACTGAAGGTCCCACGTCTGTGACTCAGAGCTGGTTGGTAAGCTATCACCTTTGTCTTTTTTTTTTTTTGCTTTTTGGTGAGGTGATTGGGGTTAAGTGACTTGCCCAGGGTCACACAGCTAGTAAAGGTTAAGTGTCTGAGGGTGAATTTGAACTCAGGTCCTCCTGACTCCAAGGCCAGAGCTCTATTCAGTGCATCACCTGGCTGCCCCTTTTGTCTTGAAAGATCTCAAACCCACCAGGCCACATTCCTGGCTTGTGTGCCCTCCTCCATAAACCCTACTAAGACTAACTCTGGGAACTGTCATCCATCCAACCACCATTTCCTAGACAGACATGTCAACCTCGGCCCAATCCTATCAATCACCATTGTCTCTGTCTCCCCATCCACCATGCTCCTCCCTGAACTCCATTAGAGCTCTCTTCTCCTAATAGAATGGAAGCTCCTTGAGGGCAGGGTCTGCCTTGTTGGCTCATATTTCTATCCCCCCCCCACACTCAGCACAACGGCTGGCACACAGTAATCACTTAATAAATGCTTTTTCATTCATTAGAGACCACAAAGTCTCGTGGAAAGAGCACCAGATTTGGAGTCTAAAGAAATGTACTGGAGTCTCTGCTCTGCCACTTCCTGGCCATGTGACCCTGTACGTCCTTCAGAACCTCAGTTTCCTTCTCTATAAAATGGGCATCATAATGCATTGTCTATTTCAACAGGCTGCTGTGAAGAAGGCACTTCGTAAACTAAGACAATATAGAAATGGGCATCACTGTGGTTCATTCAACAAACATTTCCTCATGTTTACTTGGTGTAAGGCCCAACGAAAGGTGCTGAAGGAGACGCGGTTCTGCCTTCTCAGGACTGAGCCCAGCAGCTATGGGCTCACGGAGAAGTTTTCTAGTCCCTGCCCACCCGCACCCCCTTCCAAAGCAGCGCGAGGCTGAGCAGGCGCCTGCCAGGAAGGCCCAAAGGGCCCCACGCGCACCGTGGATGTGGGCCATCTGCCAGTGTGGAATGTTCACTCTCTTGTTGCTCCTCAAGGCCAGCGGGAATGTGACAGCATCACCAGCTGCGAAGACGCCAGGGACGTTTGTCTGCATCATCTGGGGATGGAGGAGGAGTAGAATGCAGATGGCGACCAGGGCAAGAGAGGGAAGACGCAGACGCATTGGTCTGGGAGAGCTCATGGGCCAAGAGCGCAGCCTAGAGCCTGGAACTCCCAGCTCAGACCCAGAACAGAGCTGTCCTGCCCAGCCTAGAACCTGGAATTCCCAGCTCAGACCCAGAACAGATCTGTCCTGCCCAGCCTAGAGCCCAGCCTAGAGCCTGGAACTCCCAGCTCAGACCCAGAACAGAGCTGTCCTGCCCAGCTTAGAACCCAGCCTAGAGCCTGGAACTGCCAGCTCAGACCCAGAACAGAGCTATCCTGCCCAGCCTAGAGCCCAGCCTAGAGCCTGGAATTCCCAGCTCAGACCCTGGAACTCCCAGCTCAGACCCAGAATATATCTGCCCCACCCAGCCTAGAGCCTGGAACTCCCAGCTCAGACCCAGAACAGAGCTATCCTGCCCAGCCTGGAGCCCAACAGACCACTCCAGGTCAGGGTCCTGACTGCTCAACCCTGACTCATCCTCCTGGAGGGCCCTTCAGGGGGACAGCCTGCACAGAACCATCCACTGGGAAGCCTGCCCACCCTGACCCCAGGAGGAGGACCCAACCTGACCTTGTTAACAGGAATGAAGCCCCGGGCATCCATGTTGATTCCGCTCTGTTTAAGGAAGCCTGTGGCTGGCACCGCGCCTGATGAGACAGAAGTAAGTGTGAGGCAGTCTCTCCTGCCCCCTGGTCTAGATCACCCTGAGAGATGCCCAGGAGCCAGCAGGAGGGAAGAAGGATGGGCCGAGGAAGGCCCTGGGAGTGTGGCTTTGGGGCCTGGTCCTTGGGGCCCTTCTCCTGGGCCTTCTGGAGCATGAAAGGCAACTATCTACCATCAGCCCCAACTCTAGCTTCAGCCTTAACCCCAAACTTAATCCATTGTTTCACCCCAAACCCCAAGGGAGACCTAACCCAACATTCACTCCTGAACCCTATGCCAGCTCTCACCCCAAGCTCAGTCCTAGGCCTCACCCCAGCTCGATCCCAGGAACATTCCTAACTAGGGCTAGGCCTCTGACTGCGGCCCAGAGGCCCCCCTAGCTCTAGCCTTGAGCCGCCTCCCCTGGCTAACCCAGACTTCTACACTCAAGCCTAGCCTAGGGCCTGGAATGCCCCCACCAGTCCCACCTCCTCCTGACCCCCTCCTTATAACCCACACTTCAGTCGGCCCTAGCACCAGCCCCAGCCCCAGCCCTGCTTGGCAAGGGAGCGGGGGCAGCATTGCCCGCTCACCAATGCCCACCACGCAGACGTCAGCCCGGACCACCTTGCCACTCTTCAGGATAACCTCCTTCAGCTGCAGGGAGGAGGGAAAGAAGCAGGAGGTGAGGAGCTGGGGCCTGGGACAGAGTGGGGCAGGGAAGACACCAAACTGAGAGTCCCTTGTCACCCCCCAACCCCAAGGCCTTTATCCACATGGTAAATGAGTGAAGCAGAGTGCTTTAAGTAGGAGGGAGCAAATCTGGGACCAGCAGTGACTGGAAGGGGGTGAAGTCCCAAGGCAGGAAAACACCTGGATGGAAGTTCAGCTTGCTGTGTGACCTCAGAAAACCCCTCTCCCTCTCTGAGCCAGCACCTTTTCCATAGACCAGGCTCCCCACCCCCTCCTCAGCCACCCGTGGGGTACCGCTTTTGTGACCTGCTAGGAAACCAGCAAGGCCACTGATGGGGAGCCAGGGGATGATGAGTCTCCACTGATGTGATTTCTCAAAACTAGTCTTGCCAAACTTGGCGGCCTTTGCCGCCCTCAGTCCCCACCACCCAGCTCCCAGCCCCACGGCCCCTGCAGATGCCACAGCAGCACTGGGAAGAGGATTAGCTCCACTGTACAGGAGAGGAAGCTGAGGCTCAGTGTCTGGGGAAACACAGCTGGAGAGGAGCCTGGCCTGGGCTTGAAGCTGGTCCTCAGACCCTGAACCAGCATTCTTTCCACTATCACAGGCTAGTCCCTTCACTTCGGTTCCACCAGCATATAGGGTGCACCTAGTATGAGGCACCTATGTGAGGGGCCGCTTGGCATGGTGGACAGAGAGCCTGCCTTGGAAGCAGGAAGTCCAGCGTTCTAATCCCACATCCTGGCTGAGCGAGCCAGACTCCTGGTCTCTGGGTGCCCCCAACTACTCCTGAATTTAGTCGCAGAGGGAGCTTCTTCAGCCAAGAGCTCTCTATACCAGTGAGATCACAAGGTCAGTCCCTATTGCTCCTATGGACCAGGTCCTATGCTAGCCACTGGGGAGAGACAAAAAAGAAACTGCCCTCAAGCAGGTTACGCTCTGGTCATGATAACCCCTCAAATTATATGGCATTCTACAGTGCATAAACCACTTTACCATTCACGAAGCACTTTATCCTTGAAAAGTACTTTACAGTTTACAAAGAACTTAGGATCATAGGATGGTAGATGTACTGCATGAAGGGACCTGAGAGGTCATCAAGCCCAACTTTCTCATTTTACTGAAGAGGAAACTGAGGCTCAGAGGTGAAGGGATTGTAGTGAGAATAACTCTGTCAGCTCAACAGAGCTGACTCCATCTGGCATCAAGCCGCTATTTTGTGATGAAGTAGCTTGATGCTTTTCAATATCAAGGTGAGCATAGGTTAGTAAGCCACCTGTGTGCGTATGCATGTGTGTTGTTCATATGGGACCACCAGGGAACACAGACAACCAATGGGAAAACCTAATAAACAACTATGTTATTAGTTTATGGCATTAGGCACCAATTAAATGAATAGGTAAATAAATTAGGCTTCTCCTTTGACCTAGTAATACCACTACTAGGTCTGAATCCCAAAAGAGTTAAAAAAGAAAAAGAAAGAGGACCCACATGTGCAAAAATATTTACAGCAGCTCTTTTCTGGGGGTAAAGAATTAGAAGTTGAGGGGATGCCCATCCATTGGGAAATGGCTGAACAAGTCATGGTATGTGATTGTGATGGAATACTACTGTGCTATATACGAAATGATGAGCAGGAGCTCTCAGAAAAACCTGGACAGACTTAAACGAGCTGAAGCAAAGTGAAATGTCCTGTGTACAAAGTAACAGCAGTATCGTAAGATGATTAGTGAATGACTTAGCTATCATTCTCAGAAATATAATGATCCAATACAGCTCTGAAGGACTGGTGATGAAAAATGTTATCCATCCCCAGAGAAAGAACTCAGGGTGTCTGAATACAAATTGAAGCAGACTTTTTTTTAGCCTTCTTTATTTTTCTTGAGTTTTCTTTGTCTATGTTTTCTTTCACAACATGACTATTATGGTTATGTTTTGCATGACTGTACACCTATAACTTATATCAAATTACTCACCTTCTCAATGTGGGGGGGTGGGGAGGGAGGAAGGGAGAGAATTTGGGACTCAAAGTTTTAAAAACAAATGTTAAAAATTGCTTTTACATGTAACTGGGGAAAATAAAATATTAAATAAACAAAAAAAAAGTACAGGACACATAATAAACCTCCCTACTTCACAAGCTAACAGGAGGCTAGAGACCATATCTCCCTCCTTCTTGGTTGTAAAAAAATAAATCTGAATCTATTATTAAAAAAATTAAAAATTAGGTTACTGACCACCAACTCAAATTTGGGTATAATTAGCCAGCACTCCTAGTTAGTACTACAAGAAATCTGCCAGAGATCCCCATAGGGGGTCACTGATCATAGGTCTCTCCTAGGTTGTCCACACTTGAGACTCCAGCATCCACTATGTTCACTTGAAGGCAATGATGACTGATAGAGATTTCCAGATTTATCAGGCAACCACATTGGATGGAGGCACATGGCCTCCAATAGGGCAGAGAATACCAATATAAGATATTGTAGTGGGAAGCCCAAGGAAATCAGGTTGATGGCTCATTCCTAGTGGGGTCAACATTCGAATTGTCTAATTTATAATATAAACTAATGTTTGCATACATTTAATTAATAAAGCTTGTTAGCACTGAGAGCTCTGAAGTCTAATTAGTGTTTCCATTGCACTAGTCAGCATAAGGAAAGGCAAAGCTTGCCTGAGTACCATGTGCTAGAGAGATTTGCCAGGACTTGAACCCAGTCTTCCTGATTCCAAGTCTAGCACACACATTATCTACCGCACTTTAAAGGCATCTCATAGTTTCCCAAATCCTTTACAGGTTGGCTAGTGAGGCAGAAAAGGCTTCAGATTGGGGGGTCAGGGGACCTGGCTGGTGTGTGACAGCTTGGCCACTTGCTGCCTCTGGCCTGGAACCAGTCCCCAAACTCTCAGTCTCAGTTTGTCCTTCGTAATGTGGTATCTTACTTGTATTGCCTACCTCTCTCATAGCACTGTGGTAAAAAGATCCTTTAAAGCCCATGACTCCCCACCTTGTACTTGAGTTTGGGGGGAGGGGCTTGGTTCCTCACAGCCCCTAGTCACACCCCTCCCCCACAGCTATACTTGGGAAGTTGAGTTTTTGAACCCAAGTGTAAGACTTGACATTTATCCCCATTTGGTTACATCCTCCTCAGCCTGGTCCAATGTTCTAGCTTGCTGAGCCCTCTTTGAATCCTGACTTTGTCATCTGACACTTTTGGTCTGTTTTCTCCTCTATAAAATGAAATGATTGGGCCAGATGGTCCCTCCCAACTCTGATCTCTTTGGAGAATCTAGTTTTTTTGTTTTGTTTTGGCTGTAAACCCCCTAAGGGCAGGGACTGAATGTGTTTCCTAACCTCTGGTCTCTCTCAGCACCAGGGACAGCACTCTGTGCCTGCCCATCCCCCCTGACCTAACCAAAGTTTTTCTGAACTGGGTTGGAATTGGACTGGATGGGAGGGGCATTCTAAGGGGCTCAGGGAAGGGTGAGAAGAGAAGGGTGAACACAGGGAGTCTGGGGGGACACCTACCTTCCCCTCCTGGGCCCGAAGCTCCAAGACTTCTGTCTGCATGTAAAATTTGATCCCATTGTTCTCAAACATCTGTTGCAGGAAGAGAAGGGGGAGGTGGGTCCCCCAGAAGATCTCTGTCCCCGGGGGAAGGGTCTCTGGGCTCCCCTCTCCCCAGGAGTGCTAGAAGAACACATGCTCAGCAAGGGTACTGCTGCTCCCCCTCAGCCTGGGACCTCAGCGTGGCTGCTTCTGCTCTCCGGCTGGGCCAGCCTCTCACCTTCATGAGGGCTCGGCCAACCTTCTCCCCAAGGAACCTCCGGAACGGTGTCTCTTCTAACTCCACAACTGACACAGAGTGTGCCTTGTCAGTCAGGTATGCCGCTACCTCCATTCCTGGTGACAAGAAGGACTCGCTGACCCAGGGGACTGAGACGAGATGGACACTCTGACCTCCCCAAGGGAAGGAGATGGAGCTAGGCGCTGGCCTCTTGGGAGGAAGGACGCTCTGACCTGCTAAGGGGCAGAGGCAAGAATGGTCCCTCAGGGTGTGAGGGGAGCCTGGAGGCCTCTGTCCAAGGCCTACTTACCCAAGAAGGCGGCCCCAACAACAACTGCGTTCCTCCCACGGGCCAGCTTCCCTATCCTATTGGCGTCTTCTGGGGTCCCAATGGTGAAGACGTTCTCTACTTCTTTGCCTTTGCAGCTCAGTGTCTTGGGGCTACACCACCCAAAAAGAGGCAAAATTATTCTAACGTCATCTCCATTTATGAGGTTTCCTCTCCAACTTTTAACATTCATTCATCCAAAAAGCATTTATTAAGTGCCTACTGTGTGTCAGACTTCGCACTAGGGACTGTGGCTCCAGAGACACAAAAGGAAAACTCCCCTGTGTTCAATGGCAACATTGTAACAATGATCACCTGTGGAAGATTTGGTTACTCTGATCAAGACGTGGTCCCAGACAATTCCAAAAGACACCCGGTGAAAAAAGCATCCACTTCCTGAGAGACAGACCTGATGAACTCTGAGTGCAAACTGAAGCAGATAGCTTTTATGTATTTTTCTCGCTTTTTTTTGGTGACATGGCTAATGCAGAAATGTTTTCCATGACTTCACACATATAATGGGTATCGAATTTCTTGCTTTCTCAATGAGGGGGGGAAGGGGCTGGAGGAAGAGAATCAGGAACCCAACATTTTTAAAAACGGATGGCAATAAATATTTTTTTTTTTAAAAAAGAAGTTTATGTTCTACTGTGGGGATTGTTGGGGGAACAACACAATACAGAGAAGCAAATGCAAAGCAAAACAGAGTAAACTCAAGAGGGAGAGGAGGGCTCCCCCCTGGGTAGGAGGGGAAATGAGGAGGAGAGGGAAGTAGAGGAGGGAGCAGCTGAGCAGAGAAATCTAGGCCAGAGAGATGAGGAAAGAGCACAGTCCAGGCATGGGGGCAGCTGGCAAAAGACCCAGAGGCCAGGGCTGGACTGCTACGTTTCAAGTCAGCAAGCAGCAAACACAGGCAAAGTGCTGGGTAATTGTAATTGATCTGGCAAGAGGGGCTGCAGCCCCACAGGGAAGGCTTGAAATGCTCGTGGAGGAGTGGCTGGTTTTGTCCTAGAGTCGGGAGGGGGCCATGAAGCTTTCTGAGCAAAGGAGTGACCTGGCCAGAGCGAGCTTGATTAGGAAACTCATTAAGAAACTCTTTCCATCTCAGCTCCTTAATCCCCCCTCCCCCTGCCTCCCTCTTTAATCCTCTCAGTCCCCTCAGTCTTCTCCCAACCTTCCCATTAATCCCCGAGATGCCTCCAATTTTCCCCTGTAATCTCCCCAAGTCTCCTGAATGTCTCCCCTTAATTCATGCCCCCCCCTCCGCTCTGAAGTGCCCTAGTGACCTCCAGGTAGACGAATAATGTCCAAGTGACAAGTCTACCATTTAATTATTTTACAGAGGAGAGCTGAGACTTGGGGGGTGGGGCAATGACTTATACAAAGGTCACTCAGGCAGTAAATAGTGGAGTTGGGATGCCAGTCCAGGGCCTGGGACTCCACATCCCGAGACCTTTCTGCTCTGCCTGGGTTAAGAGTCTATCCAGGGGAACAAAGAAGTCAGTGCACTTTCTCCTCATGGGCCAGCAAGGGCCAAGGGAGTCCCAGGCTCTCTGTGTGGGGAAGCAGAATGCGCTTCCCTGGCATCCTCTACCTATCAAAATCCTGCCACCTTCCAAGAATATGGCCTCTGGGAATCCTGCCCTGAGCTGCTCACAATCAAACATGAGCCCTCGTTCCTCAGAGCCATCAAAAATGGCATGTCTACACTCTCACTGGAACTCTTCTTGTTCCATTACTGTTATGGTTAGGAGGCAGGTTTGGTAAAATATAAGTCTCCAATGGGTTTGGAGTCAAAAGTCCTGGGTTCAAGTGAATCCCAGCTCGGCCAGTCACTACTTGTGTGGTCATAGGCAAGTAATTTCACCTTCTCTTGGCCTCAGTTTCCTCATCTGTAAAACTGGGCTGACTATTTCTATTCTATACCTCACGGGGTTCTGAGAAGGATAATAACAACATATGTGGTGCTTTAAGGTTCACAAAAGCAGGTGTTGAGAATGATCTCCCTGGTAACTCAGCAGGGCTACCATCTTCCTAACTACTGTGTAAACAACTTGAGGGAAGGGACTATATCTAGTTATCTGGGTGACCCCTTTTGTGCCTAGTACAAGAACATGGACAGAGCAGAGTCAGTAAATGTTGAATGAATGGTTTTTCCCCATTTCAAGTAATGCTTAGCAATCCACACAAGAAAAACCAAGTGGATGAAAAATGCCCACAGTTCATCAGTGTATATAAATAACTTGGTGAGAAGTATATAGGATGAGGTGGATGTGTTGGGATGAGATGAGTCAAGAATTGGATAGGGGAGATGGGGCTGGGGGCAAGGCTGGATTGCATTTGGGGAACTACGCAGAACTTTCAATATATCCTAAGTTGCTCCCCTATGACAATCCCACCTCTTTCAATACAAATATTCTTCTGGGGCTGCTCTATGGCTGTGAATCATGGAACACCATTATCTCAGAAAAATCAAAACTGTGGGTGACCCCAAGGGCATTAGAGAGACAAATGGGTGTCAGTGGGTGGCAAGACATCACCAACAATAACTTAGTAATGAGAAGTGAGGTGAAAACCATCATTATGGATGCATAGGACCAGAAAAGTCACACAGGGAGGGCAGCTTGGCATCCAGAGTGGACACAGTGCCGGATCTAGAGTCGAGAAGACCCAAATTCAAATCTCACCTCTGACACTTCCTAGTTTACTCTGATGGGCCTGAGTTTCCTAATCTGCATAATGGAAGATGCTGATTACATTCCCTACCTTGCAGGGTGAGCTCCTTAAGGGCAGGGGCTGGGTTTTTGCCTTTCTTGAGCCCCAGCACTTGGCACAATGCCTGGCACATGGTAGGCACTTAATAAAAGCTTGTTGACTGACTGAGCAAAGTGATTTGCAGACCTGAGAGGTCTAGAGCCTGCTGAGGGTTGTTCTCCCCACACACACACCCCCAGGGCCACTTACGTGCTTCCTGGGGCCAACAGCAACTTATTGTATTCCATCTTAAAGCCATCCTTGAATATGGCTTTCTTGTTCTTCACATCCACTGTGACAACCTGAAATCAGTAAAATAAGGAAGAGGTAACACAGAACCAGAGGGTGGCAAACAGCCCAGCTCAGGATGCCTGGCAGGAATGGGGAGAGAGGTGGTGAAGCAACTGACCCAAGGTCACGTGGAGGCAAGGCAGGATTTGAACCCAGGAATCCTTTTTCTTCCTGGCCATTTTATTACCAGGAAAGTGGAGACAACAGTATTTTGTCACCCTCTGGAGAGGAGGTTTAGGAGATAGCAAACGGAGCTAAAACCAAGACAAGACCTTGTCCGGGGGTTGCAATTCAATTGGCCATGAAGACAGCTGCATTCTTTCAGCAGGCATAAACAGCTGAGTTTTGCACCTGGCAGCCCCCATGTAGTTTCTTTGGTTTTGGTGACTTGAGGGATGCTCCAATCAGGGGTCAGAACTGAGAAATGCCAGCTTGAGGTCTTTGTGTTTACAAAGAAATGAACAAATACAAAATCCATTGTTACTTGTTAAGTGCCTTCTATGTGGAAAGCCCTGGGCTAGTCATGAAGAAGAGCCAGGGGCTGGAAGGAATCCTAAAGAGGCTCTTGTCCAACTTGCTCCACAAGAAAGGCAGCCCTGGAGGGGGAGGAGGATAAAAATCATAATAATAATGATGATAACCAGCATTCCCACAGCCCTTTAAGGCTTGCAAACACCTTCTATATGTTATCTCATTGGATCCTTGCATTAACCCTTTGAGGTAGTTGCTGTTATTAGCCCCATTTCACAGATGAGAGGCTGAGAAGTTAAGGGATTTGCCCTGGGTCACACTGATGTGGATACAAATGGTGCCCTAAGGGTTAAAAAGAATATTAAGAGTTGCTTTTCCAGTACTTTGGAAATCCTGTAACTTGAGAGTGCCCTAAAGTCTCTTCCCTTTATCTTGAAATACCATAAAACTTCTCCTTATCTTCCAAGCTCCCTTATCCTGTGTTCCCCCATCTCTAATGTTTAACCAGTGTCCGACCTGTCCTATCCTTAAGTCTTTAAACCATAAAGAATTCCTTTTGTCTCCTTCATCCTGTCCTGTCTTTAACCTTTAACCTCCATAAAAACCTCTAAAACTACATCATCATTCTGAAACTTCTATATAAGCATAACTCCCCCAAATATCGAGGTCTCACTTAGCTTTCTTGCTAAGGAGGCCCATGCTGCTTACATGGTAAATAAAGCTCCTGATGAATGGCTAAGAGAACATTATCTAAGTGAACTGCTCTCCCAAATCTGACCTCAACCACACAGCTAGCAAATATCTAAGGCAAGATACATTCAGGCCTCTCTGACCTTAACACTCTATCCACTATTCTAGACTAACTCCTCGGGATCCTATACTCCAGTGTTGGACTCAGGGGTAACTGAAAGCCTGAGTATCAATCACCCCAGCCATTCGCTGGTTGTGTAACCTTGAGGAAGTCACTTAAACCTCTCTGAGGTTCAGTACTCTGAACTTCCTAGGGGATAGGAAAACCCACCATGCTTGCCTCACAATGGTAGGGTTAGAAATGGGCCAAATGCTCTGTAACTGTCAAGTGTCACAGAAAGGTCAATTTGTGAAGTTGATTGTTTGAGCCCAAATGTCAGATTTCACACATCCCTATTAATTGTCCTCTTCCACAGCTTGGCCCATTGCTCTGGCCTGCTGAGAGGTCACTGGGTCCCAATTCTGTCATCTGGCAAATCAAGTTGGTTTTCTTCTCTATAAAATGATTTCTAGGGTCCTTCCCATCTCTGACAACCTAAGAATCTATTGTTATTTCTCTTCCCTTGACACTCCTCACTGGGAGTTCTCGCCATGGCCAGGAAAGGCCCCTGATCTCTCAAAGGCTATGCCCGGTGCAGCCCTACCTCTCACAGGTCCTGCCCAGGTGGGACAACTTCCAAGTACAGGCCCAGAATTGGACTGGCAGCATTTCCTGCCTCTAGAATCCCCATCTCCCTCTAGGATTCAGCTCAGCCTTCTAGTGCTACATGAGATGTTTCCTCATTCTCCCTCCCGTATTAAGGACTCTCCCCAACCAGCTACCCTGCATTACTTTGTACAGAGTTTGTATTTCACTATCTGCATGCATGTATGTTATCTCCCCCAGTGGACAATAAACTCTCTGAGGGCAGGGCCTGTTTTGGTTTTTTGTCTTTGTATTTCCAGTATGTAGTACACAGTAAGAACTTAATTAATGCTTATTAAGTTGGATTAAAAGAACTCTGTGTTTAGAGTAAAAACTCCTGAGCTCTGCCACTCACTCACTGAGACCCTAGAAAAGTGCCTTCTTCTTCCTCAGTCTTCCTCTCTTACACCACGGCCTCTGAGGTCCTCCCACCTTCCAGGGAGTGTCTGAGCCTGAGTCTCAGTGGTTCCCCCCCGATCCTCATCAAGGCAAGCAGAATGCTCCCGTGGGATGTCATCCTGCTCTGGGTACCATGTTTTAGGAAAGCTGTTGATGAAATGCAGGGCATCCAGGTAGGATGAGCAGAGCAATGAAGGGCCTTCATGGTCATACACTATGAGGACTAGCTGAAGGAACTAACTAGGGATGTTTAGGGAGGACACGGAAGCTGTCTTGTGGCTGAGGGTTTGGACCGGTTCTGCCAGGCCCAGAAGGACAGAAAAAGGAGAAGGGGGTCATATGGAGGAGCAGAGAGGCGGCTTCTGACTTGATGTGTGGACGAAATGCTTAATCATTCATTGGAGCTGTCCAAAAATGGAAGGGGCTGCCTTAGAGGTAGTGAGGTCCCTGTCACTGAAGCTCTGCAAGTAGAAGCTGGATGATTACTCATCAGAGATGCTGTAGAGAGGATTCCTGATTGGGAATGGACTGGATCAGATGGTCTCTGAGCTCCTTTCCAACCCTAAATTCTAGGACTATGAAACATATGCTTATTATATATGGGTTGTTCTATTGCCCCAGCTCAGGCATTGATGGCAGCCAGAGAGAGGGGGATTTGTGACCCAAGGTCTGAAAGCCACATGTTTTCCCAAACTACACACACACACATCTGTCCCCCTGTCCCCCACCTCCTCCAAAAGAAAAGAGCAAACTCAGTGCTGACAAGATTTTATCCCCGTTTTCAGAGCCATGATTCCTAGAAATTCTGATCCCTCCTCGTTTGGGAGCCAGACCCTTCACTCATCTTGAGTGCAAATAGCCTGCTCCTCATCTATGTCCCTGAGAGAACATAGCACAATCACAAGGATCTGCATGTCATTTGTGACCCCTGGGGAATGGACTTCCCTTGCAGGGGGGTGTCTACATGTCTTTGTATCTGTGCAAGGGGCTGGGGAAATCTGGAAGCTGCAGCTGAGGTCTCTGGGAGGAAGGGCTCTCCATGAGAGCTGGCCACACACTAGTCTGTTACAAGCTCCCACCTAAGGCACCAGCACTAACCTCCTCCATGTTTGCCACTAGAGGGGGGTAGTCGCATCGTGGACAAAGGGGTGTAACAGGCAGGCACTTATCACAGAAGGAAATGCAGGTTTCCATGCTGTGATCTGCTCTTTGATATCTCCTGGGGGGTTGCAAATTGATTTTTTTTTAAATAAATTGCTCCAAACCCTTCATGTGTCTACAAAGTAATTGTCCTTCCTCCCCAGGGCCTCCTTGCTTCCCTCAGGTTGGCTTTTAGGAGCCATCCTCAGATGCAACTTGATGATTCAGACTCAGTAGGAAGCAATTCCTGGAATCCCCAAGGCTGCATTTTTGTCCAGGCTGTATGACTCCATGGAGATAGCCAGGCAAACCAGCCAAGATCCATGGGGCTACTCTCACCAGCCTTTGAGAGGTCAGATTTATAGCCCAACCCCATTTCCTAAGTGCAGTACAAGGAAAAGTCTGGTGAACTTTTAATTTTCAACCCTTATTTCTACTATTTACAAGTTGTATGACCTAAGGCAAGACACTTTCTCTCTCTCTCTCTCTCTCTCTCTCTCTCTCTCTCTCTCTCTCTCTCTCTCTCTCTCTTTCTCTCTCTCTCTCTCTCTCTAGTAAAATGAGTCTGATGATGCTTGTACTACCAGAAAGTTCTTTGTACACTGCAGAAATAACTGTTATTACAACACAGAACACAGAGAAATTGAGTGGGTTGGGTATGAGTATCTCTGAGACTTGGCAGGTTATGGCTTACAGTGGGAATAGAATAATGAAAGGTCATACCTCATTCAAAAGGGACAGATTAGGTAAAATGAGTGGTGAAGGGAGAAGATGTACTCTTACGTGGAAAGCCTTGAGATAAAGTGGAGAAGCAGCAGAGGTGAAGATAAAAGGAGGAAGCAACAGGAGGGATATCGTGGTGGGATTAGACTACATACCACCTGGCCAGATGGAAGACACACATGATACAATACCACAAAGCTAGGATAAGTGCACCCTGAAGGGAAGAGAAAAAATGCCTGGACATTTGATGGAGGATACTTTGAAAAAATGGAGCAGCTGAGATAACCCTTCTTACCATAAAAACCACTTCATCCCTCAGAAGGGAAGGAAGCAATCAAGGGAGGCGCCTTTTTGGGTCCAAGTCTAATCAATGAGGGAGAATAGGCTACAAAGTGAGAGAGTCAAGTGCCTTCAAACATGGGGACCACATGATTGCTCTGTGTGGGAATCTCTGCTCAGTCTCCTGACTCTGTGCATTCACCATACCACCCTGTCTTTTCTTGCCTTGATCCCACCCTTTGAACAGCCTCCAGTGCACCAATGCAAAAGGGCTTTGAGGACCCTCTTCTTTCTATCTCCTGGTGCTTTGGACACCAGCCCTTCTCACTTCTCCACAGTGAGCCCAACTCAATCTTCACCTCCATCCGGGGCCCTTGTCCTCACATCTGTGTAACTCAGCTAGAAGCTTCAGAGGATGAGCTGGATCTTGGGCAAATTTCTCCCCTTCTCTTAAAAATAATGGGTTGGACTGGATACTCACTAGCTACCTTCAAATCTCATTCCCAAGGCCACTACCCCAAACCCATGGGTCCTCTCAGGGCTGATAGCCTTTCTTTGTCCAACATGAAAGACCCTCAAAGCCCCCTCACCTGGGTCTCGGTCAGGACTTCGATGTCATATGTCAGAAAGAACTCCTTGGGCCTGAGGGCAATCTGCTCTGGCTGGGAGTCCAAGGACTGCGAAGAAGAAGATACCAGAATCATCCCTGACCCTCTGGTCAAACCTCCCCTACCTCCCACTGGGTCTCAGCCCTGCAAGGCTGCATGGGCGCTGACCACCTCCCCTTCCCCAGTCTGGCCTCATTCTCATCCATTATTACAAACAGAAGTAGAACTATCGGTGCCGAACCAGGGTCCAGAGCTCCAGGGTTCTGGACAGGAAAACCTGCCCTGAGAAATAGAGTGGTCAGAGTTTATCAAGCAGGGATTCTGGGGCTCTACAGTCACATTCCCTCTAAACTCTCAGTCCTGCTATCCACAGCACCTTCCCCTTAGTTGCCTAAAAATAGCAATGATAATGATAATAACGGCATTTACACAGCCCTTTAAGGAGCACCAGCACTTGATTTGAGCCAGGGACCTTTGCTTGATCCATTCTCCTTATCCTCGCTCAGCTTTTCAGCCACCCTCTCATCCCAAAGATTTCCCCTCCCTTGGTTTGGCGGCATTACTCTCTCTTGGTTATGCTCCCACTTCCTGGCTACTGCTCCTCAGTCTACTCTGACGGGTCATCCTTCTCCCCTGGCCTAAACGTGGGCACCCTCTGAGGCTCATGTAGGGGCTTCTTCTCTTCTCTCTCCCCACTCCCTCACTCTCATGGGGATCTCATCAGCACCCAGGGGTCTACTGAGTCTATTCAGATAACTCCCAAATTCCTGCTCACAGTCCTGGTCTGCCTCCTGAGCTCCAGCGCTGCTGGACAGCTCCCCGGGCCGTCCCACCAGCGTTTGGACATTGCCTCCCTTCTAGATTTCTATCCCCTGTGCTTAGCACATTCTTGGTGCTACACAAGCCTTTACCTAATCTTCATTCATTCTTCCCAAACTCCACAACTGTTAAATGCACCCTGGCCGCAGGCTCGTACCTCTTCCTAGCCCATCGCTGTTGAGGGGGCTCTTCTTCCATCTCCCTCCCTCCTGTGCCCCGTCCATTACCAAGCCTTGCCATTCTTCACAATATCTTTTTCTTCCAATGCCTCCTCTCTACTCTCATGGACTCCACCCTAATTCAGGACATGGCTGCCTCTCCCTCGGACCTCCTAATGACTCTCCCTGCCTCCAGTCTCTCCCCTCTCCAATCCCTTCTTTACAGAGCTACCAAAGTGATCTTCCAGAAATACAGATCTGACCCTACCACTCCCCTCTTCAGAAGGCTTCAGGGAGTCCCTAATGCCTCAAGGATAAAATAACAAATCCTCAGCTGGGCATTTGAAGGGTAGGGTACCCCTGACCTTTCCAGTCTTTCATGCGCTATCCAATTTAGTCAAACTGCCTGCTAGCTATTCCTCATACAGGGGGCATCTAGGTGGCACTGCAGTGCATAGAGCGCCGGGTCCAGAGTCAGGAGTTCAAATCTGGCCTCAGACACTTACCAGCTGTGTGACCCTGGACAAGTCACTTCACCCTGTTTGCCCAAGTTTCCTCATCTGTCAAATGAGCTGCAGAAGGAAATGACAAACCACTCCAGGATCTCTGCCAAGAAAACCTGAGATGGGGTCACATAGAGCAGGACATGATTGAACAACTGAACAAGGACTGAGCTGTTATTACTCATTAGAGTTTGCACAGTGTTTTACTCGGATCCTCAGAAGAACCCTGCGTACTCGAGACACGTTAGCTGTCGTTAGGGGCTGGCAGACTTCTCAGTGAGGTCTGAGGACGCCATTACTAACAGGAAAGGCTACCCTGAGGAAGGCGAGTGGGGCCACAGAGCTAAACAACAGACATTCACCAGGTGCTGGGGATGCCCTCAAGGAGCTTACATTCTAACTGAATTTCCTCACCAGTAAAACACTTGCACTCCCTACCTCTCATAAACTTGGCATCTTCTCTGGCAACCTGCCTATTGCTCTGCACTCAGTAGACACTTAACATTTGTTGAATTGACCGTGGGTGATCATAAGGTGAATGAGAGGGTGGGCTAAGAAGAAGAGGTGCTCAGGAGGGGAAGGAGGGCCAAGGGCAAAGGGAGGAGCCAGACTGTTTGGAGAAGATGGTCCTGGGGAGGCTGCCCCTTCTGGGGATTGCCAGCCCCCTGGGAGGGAGGGAGGGAGGAGATGGGGGGATAAGGAACTTGCCATCCCTTCTTCAGCCCTGGGGTCTGAAGGAACCAAGGACAATGCTGTTGAGAGTATCCAAGGGTGCAACAGGCCAAGGGAGGCCTGGAAGGTGGCAGGAGACAAAAGGGAGATCCCCCATGAGGCCCCTCTCCAGGAACCCAAGGGCTTGTGGATTTCTGGGTCTGTGCATGTCCATGAGGGGCTGGGTCATTCACCTGTGAGGCCTGTGGTTCTCAGACCAGTCTTAAATTCGAATCGTGCCCCATTCCTAGGTTCCGAAGCTCCACCTTTATCCACCAGTAGATGACGTCGATGGGGGGAGAGGCACCCACCATCACATTGCAGCAGAGACCTCTGGAGTCTCTGGAGTGCCGGCACTTCCCTACCCTCCTCAGATGTCCAAATCAGACTCCAGCCCCTGCCTTCCTCCAAGCATGTCAGGGGCCGGGCGCTGGAGAAAGCCCCAGCCAAGTGGAGAGGAGGCTTCTCAGAGGGTGACGTGCCCATTGACCAAAAGCCCCAGGGCTTCAGAAGGTGGGAGGACCCTGACTAGGGACAGTCTGTGAGCTCAGGCGAGGGAGGACCGAGGTGACCTTCCCAGGTGAGGACTGGATGCTTCTTTGTGGACGAGAGCACATTAAAACCCCTTTCCCCCATTTTTATTGTCATTCAGTCATGTCTGACTCTTCACAACAGAGATCCTGGAGTGGTTGACCATTTCTTTCTTCAGCTCATTTTACAGATGGGAAACTGAGGCAAACACAGTAAAGTGACTTGCCCAGGGTCACACAGCTAGTCGGTGTCTGAAGTGGGATTTGAATTCAGGTCTTCCTAACTCCAGGTCTGGTGCTGTGTGCACTCTGGTGCCCCCTAACTGCCTCCTTCTCATTTCTCCTCAGCCCAGAGAGGGCTGGTAAGTGACAGAGTCTGGATTTGAACTCGGGTCCTGTGACTCCATATTAGAAGCCAGGCTAAGCCTCTGTCTGCTGAATCTAGACCTGTCTCCAGCCCTACAAAGAGAAGCATCCTGGAGAAGTCTGGAGTCCTGAGAATCATTCTAGCCAAGAAGCACAGCAGAGAGAGAGAGAGAGAGAGAGAGTGCACAGGGCTTAGAGACGGGAGACCCCGAGTTCCAATCTGGAGTCCAACACTTACTCACTGCATGGTCATAACCTCTCTGGGCCTCAGTTTCCCCATCCTTAAAATGAGGATAATAATAGGATCACTATATATATATATGTAATATTATATTATATATATATATAATAATAGTTCTTACTATTAGGTACGAGGCTTTGTGAACTTGTAAATGCTAGCTATCATAATTGTGAGTTCACATTCTATTTCAGGCCTGCGCTGCCTTAGAGATGATGTCATGGTTTCTTGGGTGTCTTGCTCGGTGCTCAGGATCCTCAGGGCATCTCTGAACGTGGGTGACCATCAAGGTCTGCCCCAGGGCCCAGAAGTCAAGTACATGCATTTCCTCTCCCCAGCCCCTGTACTGGAGGGTAAGCCCAGTGGGCCAGGGTGGGGCCTGGGAGGGGAGGAGACGCCCACCTTGCTGAGCTTGGGTCTGTCATAAGGAAGGTGTCTGTCCATCGTGCACATCACAATTCTGTCGGAGAAGCCCTCCTGTCTCAGGGTCTCTGCACACACCAAGCCGGCCGCCCCTACCAGAGGAAGGCTGAGCCTTGAATCATTGAGCAGATCAGACTGTCTTCTCCCCCTCCGCTCCCCCAGGGCCATGAGCCACCCATCACCAGTCACACTCTGAGGCTGGCAGACCACCCATGCATGGCCCTTGGGGGTGAGGGGGGGAGCAAGGCCTGGGAACCCCAGAGATAGAAGAGGGCTGAGAAAGAGGATAGCAAAAGAGGGATGAAGAGATCTGAGGCCAGACTTCGGCTCGAGGACAAAGCTGCTCTTTGTGAGGGTCGGGGAGAGCTGAGGATCTCAGTCACAGAGCTCCAAACCAAATATTGTGGGTGGGTCTTTGGGGTATCACCTCTCTGAACCATCTCAGGCCTGGCCCTGGCACAAGACCAAGGGTGGCCACTGTTCTCAAAGAAGAAATTGGAGACTTTCTTCAATACCGAGCCAAGCCTGCGCCTGACCCAAGCCGAGGCTGCACCTGATCCCAGGCCCAGCCCGAGCACTCCCGTCACACCCAGTCTGAGCCTTGATCCGAGGGCCAGCCTGAGCCCCAGCCCCCACGTGCCCATGCAGGCACCCAGGCCCTGCCCAAAGCCCCCAGTTGCTCACCAGCTCCCACAATCAGGATGTTGGTACTCCCCACATGGTAGTTGCTGAGGGAGATGCACTTGGCCATCACCTTTGTCCTCCTCTGTGTCTGCAGGGCCTGTGGGACCCAAAGGTGATGAAGGATCCCCTCTACCCAGAACACCCCAGAGTCTGGCAGGCGCCAGCCCTGGGGGCCAAGAGGAAGGATCTGAGGAGCTGTCCAAAGTGGCCTGCCCCCTCCCCACAGAGAGTTCTCCCCAGCATCCATCTAAGCCTCTGCAGAGAACCTACTGTGTGCTGACACTGGGCTACAGACTGGGGATAGAGGGGGCCAAAACCCCCAATAACGCAAAGCACTCAGAGTACCAACGGAACCCCTGTGTCCCACTGAGCAGCGCCCCCTTCCAGGGCAGGTCTGAGCCTTGGGATCCCTAAAGGTTCTTAGACACTCATGTGCATACACACACTCATGCACAAAACATACGCACACACACTTGTGCAAACATACACACACATACACGTGCACACACATACACAGATACACATGCATACAAATGCCAGATATACATATATACACTTGCATCCACACAAGTACATGCACATGCACACACACGCGTGCACGCACACACACACGCACACACGCACAGACACACACACCCCTCATCCCACCTCACCTCTTCCCAAGGAGACCAAGAGACACAAACACAGAAGAAAACACAGACCCTGACAGACACCCCCCTCCCTTCCTGGGAAATCCTCCCTGAAGGGGTGTGGAGGAGGCATTTCCAGCCGCCAAGCCTTTGATCTAGCCCAGGCCTTTGTTAAGGAAGAAGAGGCACTTAGCTGATAAAGGTCCAGGGAGAGAGGGGGAGGTGATGGGAGGACAATGGGAGGGAGGCGAGGAAGGGGTGAGGGGAAGGTTGGGGTCCCTGGGGAGAGCCGGCTCAGCCCTCTCAGAACACTGAGGGGAATCAGAGCCTGGGGGAGAGCAGCCAGGGAGCGAATCACTACGGGAGGCCTAGCTCGGGCCTCCCTGCCTGCCTGCCGCCCCATGCCCAGCCTGTCCCCCTGGGGAAGGAGAGGTTCCACAGGGCACAGATGCCCTGAGCTCTAGAGCTAGAGGGCCCTCGGAGGTCCTGGGAAGGGAAGGGACTTCCCAGGGTCACAGAAGCAGGATTCCAACCAATCTTTCCCTGAGCCCAGGCCCAGTGCCCAGCTAGGAAGCATCTGCAGAGGCCAGACCTTGGACCCTCGCCTCAGGGAGTCTCCCCATCACCCCCCCACCCCCAGGCTGCAGCAGGGCTGGAAAGGTCAGTGTCCTTGGCCTGGTGGGGGGCAAGGGAAGGAGGGAGGGAGGGAGGACCAGCCTTTTTGTCCCGGCTTCCCACAGAGCATCCCTGTGTCTCCCTGGGGGTGGGAAGGGACTGGCTCACTCTTCTCGCTCTTTATCTGGCTTAGAGGTGAGAGCTCTGTGTTGTGAGGTCTGATATATAAGATGATCATCTACCAAGTGCCTTAAATGCATCAGCTCATTCGTCAGCTCCAGACATCCTGGAGGCAGGTGCTTTTCTCATCCCCATTTCATAATGAGCCAAAGGGACCTGCCCACCCTTAGTAAGTGGCAGTGGCAGGATTTGAACCCAGGTCTCATAGAGCCCACTGGCCTCTAGAGATGGGAGCTTCTATGATCATTTCCTATGTACAGACAGTGGTTCCTTCCCTTCTTCCTCAGCCTTGCTCATAGAGACAGCTCTGTCTGGTCCAGGAGGCCTGGGGAAGGGGCAGCTCTCCAGGGACCCCAGGCAAGCCCAGGGGTCTCAGCCCAGAGCCCATGCTTCACATACTCCCACACTGAGGCCCAGAGGGGAAAGGGTGGTCCGAGGCCACCCAGCCAGTAAGAACCAGAGCCAAGATTTGCAACCGGCTCCACTTGGTTCCAGAACCAGCAAGAAACGACCTTTCCCTGCTGGGGCACCGAGACCCTGGGCTAGCTCAAGATCTTCCCAAACACTCAAAGGAAGTGTTAGAGACGGGACAAGAGCCCAGCTCTCACACCAGAATGTTCTCCCCCACTTAGGAGTCATGGGCAGAGTTCTAGACCTGAAATCAGGAAGACCTAGGCTTGAATCCTGACTGAGACATGGCCTGGGCTGCTCTAGGTAAGCCAATTCACCGCTCTGAGCCTGTTTCCTCTTCTGTAAGATGGAGGCAATGATGGCACCATCTCCCAGGCTTGCTAAGAATATCTTTTGGCAGCACACCAGGGGAGCCCTCCATATCAGCTCTGATGATTTGTGTCATTGTTATTATTGGGCACCATCCAGGGCACCGAGAAGCAGCTCAGCTGCCAGGGTAGGGGGAGATGAGAGAAAACACCTAGTGGAGGCAGAAGGGATGAGAATCCCCACTGTACAGGACACAGAGAAGGAAGAGGACTGAAAAGTGAAGGACAAAAAGTCAGAACGGGTTGATGTGTAAGGATGACGCCCAAGGCTGGCCCTGGAGGTAAAGGGAGAAAACACACCTCCCTCCCTTCTTCGAAGGGCCAGGGCCTATGGGAGCAGAGCATCGCAGACCCAACCAGCTCAGCCCAGGCTTTGTTACTGGGGGCATCTCTCACTGGCAAAGGGAGCTTCAAAAGTGAAGGTGAAAGAAGGAACCAGCTTCATCAGGGAAAGTGATGATCTGATCAAATGAGGCTGACCAAGCCGTGCTTGTAAATGCCGGGTTGGGCCAGAAGCCAGTTCTCCGGACAGAGGCCGGGGTGCATCCCAGCATCTCAGCTGGAAGGGCCCTCAGAGGCCCTGAAACTAACAAGCAGAGACACTCCCCCACCATCGCCCACCTCAGCCTCCAGGCCAGCCGGCATTTGGCCTCTGCTTAGAGCCCTCCAGTGCCGGGGAGCTCATTCCCTTCTGGGGACACCCATTTCACCCGGGCACAAGTCTATGATTAGGGGAGTTCTCCCTGACGTTGAGCTTAAATCTGCCTCTTTGTAGCTTCCCCACCCCACACAGCCCCTGGAAAGGAAGCATCTCTAAGAAGGTCCCAGCCTCCGGAGCCCCCAGCCCCAAAGCAGAGCCTAGCTGCTCCCACACACACACACATACAGCCATTTACCTGTTTACTGGCTCGAATGTACACCTTCTCCTTCTCAATCTTCACCTGGGACAGTCAAAAGAGTGGGGAAAATGGGTCACCTCACACCCTAAATAGTGGAACCAACCCAAGGAGAGGGGGCCCCAGGGCAGCCAGCCCCTCCCTGGGCAGAGAGCCTGAGCTGGGCTGAAGGCTTCTCTGATGCTCCTGTCTCCCAATGGTCCTCCCTCCCCACCATCCTCACCATGGTCCCCTCTCCCCACTGTCCTCACCGTGGGCCCCCCTCCCCACCATCCTCACCATGGGCCCCCTTCCCCACATCCTTGCCATTACCCTCCCTCCCTACCATCCTCACCATGGTTCTTCCTCCCCTCCCTCCCCCCAGGGGCCTTTCCACTCTGGCCCTCCCATCTTCCCACCATGGACCTCTCCTCTCTCCCACCCATGGGCCTCGCTCCCCACCTCCTATCTCACCTGGAATTTGGGCAGGCTGTCTAGACCTGGGAAGTCTTCAATGTCTCCAGTGGCAATATTGAAACAGGCACCATGCCAGGGGCATCGGACCCTGCCCCTGGAGAGGACCCCTGGAAGGAGAGAGCCCTTGCTGGAGGCTGGAGAGCCCTGGGCTTTGGCCACAACAATAAAGGGGTAGGAGGGAGGCTCAGGGGCCATGGGGCCTGAGGCGGAAGGAAGGGCTCTCTCAGGCCAGCTGGCCAGGCCAGGGCCTCAGGGACAGACTCCAGCCTTTCCAGAGCTGCCTTACTCCCAGGAGGAAGGGGAAGAAGGCTCCGCTTTCTCTATGGGCTGGTCAAGGTGCTGGGGCCGCAGACCCCACATTTCTCTCTGGGCTTCTGGAGACTCCACTGCCATCCTTATGGTCCTCAGAGACCCTTCCACCTAACCTCTACCTCCCTTTATTGTCCTCCAGGACCCCCCCCAGACCCTCCCAGCTACAACCCCCGAGATCCCCCAGCTCATCAGGGGAGGAAGGATTTGAAGCCTGCTCTTAAGAGGCTGATCCAAACCTTTCTCCACCTTGGGGCTTCTCCTTCATCTCCTGAGAGGAAAATAGCGCCCACACCCTCTTGTCCTGGGACAAGGGCCCCCAAAGTCACACTCTGCTCCAGACAGAGGTCGCTAGTAAGAGCCTCCCCCCAAGAGAAGCCCCTAGAAGCCCCTTCCCCAAAGATGGGTCCACAATATCCCCCTTCCCACGCAGGGGTCCCTGGCCCACCTTTCACCAGGGGGGCTCCGTAGTGTGGACACTTGTGGCCCAAGGCATGGAACTCCCCATTCTCCTTCACCAAGAGGGCCTTGCCCCAGCCCAGCTCTACCTCCCGCATCCTAGGGAAGGAAAGGAGTCTCAGCAGTCTGGAGCCAGGGCCACTGGCTCGGCCCAGCATTCCTGCCAACCTGGAGAAGTCCCAAGTCCTAGAGAAGGGCCTGGGGCCTTAGGAAGGGCAGGCCCCTCAGCCCTCAGGAAATATGGACCAAGGACCAGGCAAAAAGAGCTGTGCTAGTGGATGGCCCTGTGTTCATCTTACGTGAGAAGGCGGAGCCTGGAGAAGGGGCCCACAGGGCTCTCCTCCAGTATCTAAAGGGTCCCTGAGTGCAAGAGGGATCAGCCTTGTCCTGCCTGGCCCAAAGGGACGGCCCCAGGAGCAATGAAGAGGCAGGGAGGGAGGGGGGGAGGAAAGAGAGCTGCCCACAAAGGGCAGGGGGAGAGCTCCCGAAGGGGCGGCCCCGGGAGATGGGGGTGCAGAGGTCAGAGGATGCGGCCAGGGACTAGAGAGGGATTCTCATGCAGGTGGACTGAACTAGACGTCTCTGGGGGCTCTTCCACATCCTGCGGTCTGGACATGGGGCACGCGGGGCTCCCCGCCAGGCCCCTGGATTCCAGGGGAACCCGCCCAGCGCCTACTGGCCATTCTCCAGGTCCTTGACGTGGCACGCGGCGGCCTCCACTCGGTCGTGAGGGCTGGGGTAGGGGTGCAGGGTGGATGGCCGCTCCTCTGGGTGGTAGTGCCGGGCCCGGCCGTTGGCTTTGTAGGCCAGAGGGCTGGCTTGGCCACTGGGAGACGCATCTTCTTTGGTTCGCTCCTTCTCTGGGAGCACCACTTCAATTTTGAGCTCCACTGTGGAGGCAACAGAGAGTTAAGGAGACCAGGGCGCCCCCATCCCTGGGCCAACCACTCCCAGACCCCGGAAGGTTGGTGTGGGAACAGCCCACATCCTGCCTCGCACCCATAACTTCCAAACAGACAACAGACAACAGACTCTGACTCCCAGCCTCCTCCCTACCACCTCCACCTCTCCCAGTGCATCGAGTGCACCCCTCCCCTGGCACAGGACCCCGACAGCCTGCGCAGCTACCGCCTCCTCCATGAAGACTTCACACCTTCTCTGGCCAAATTCGCATCATCACCAGAGTCTGGGCTTACATTTATAGTAAGATGCAGGCTCCCCGGGGGCAGGAGCTAGTCTATTTTTTGTCTGAGAAACCCCTGTATGTAGCACGGTGCTGACCACACAGTGGGCACTAAAAATGCTTGTTGACTCATCGTAAGAACTCCCAGTTTTTCTGAGAAAAGACAGTGGTGCAGCAAGGTGGCACAGTGGATAGAGCACGGGCCCTGGAGTAAGAAGGACCTGAGTTCAAATCTGGCCTCAGACACAACAACACTTGCTAGCTGTATGACTTTGGGCAAGTCACTTAACCCCATTGCCTACCCAAAAAAAAAAAAGAAAGGAAGAAAATAAGGATCCTACCTACCCAGGGCACCAATCTTATTTGTAGCATTCAAGGAGATAATAAGGGAAGCCTTACAGGGAGCCCCCATGTTAGCTACAGTCTTACTGAGTCACCACACACCTGGCAGTCATGGAGCCTCTACTCTTCACCCAAGTGAAGGGAGCAGCAGAGAGCCAGGTAGGAGGGAATGGCTGCCACACCCCAGCTCAGAAAGGATGGCCTGGTCCCATGGGAGAGCCGGACGCTGGATGAACAGACCGTGGGCCCCCAGAATGGGTTCCACTGAAGGGAACTCTGGGATGGACGAGGTCTGAGATGGGCTGAAGTATCTGAGAGAGGGTGGTTGACTCGAACCCTGACCCTAAAATGGCAGACTCTCCTTCCCTGGGGCCCTTTCAAAGGAGGACAGGATATATTTCCATCTCTACATTCCCAGCATCTAGCCAAGTGCCCAGTACACAGTACGTGCTCAATAAATGCTTAATGGTTGATCAATCCTTAGAGTAAGTTGGAACGCACCTTACATGTCATTTAGGCTAATCCACTCATCTTACATATGGAAACCGAGGCTGTTTGCTGGCAGACAGAATCATTGCTGCGCCCCAGAGCACTCAGGCAGGAAGAGTGTGCAGGGTACCACTGAGTGACCTTCAGATGCAGCCACGCAGCATCGTCTCGGCCTGCTCTGCTCTGTCACTTCTTCGTAATCAATAATTAGATCCTAGGCCTGCTCCCCTCCCCCAGCACAGCCCAAGGCCCCATGACCCTCCTCCACTGGAAGGGTCCTCGAACTGGAAACCCAGTTGCTCTCTGTACCTACCCTGAGAGATCTTCTCCAGCTCATTTTGCAGATAGGGAAACTGAGGCAAACAGGGTGAAGTGACTCGCCCAGGGCCACACAGCTAGTAAATGTCTGAGGCTGGATTTGAACTTGGGAAGATGAGTCCTCCTGACTCCAAGCCCCACGCTCTGTGCACTGTGGCACCACCCAGCGGCCCCAGAACTCCAGTGTCCACTTTGCCAATGCTTGAAAGCTTATAAACACTCTCCCCCCCAGTACCAGCTGTGAGATCGGTACTGAAGGCCCATGAGCCCCCATGTCTAGACCTCTGAGGGGAAATGACTTGCCCAAGGACAAGCAGCTAGTTAAGCCTCCAAGACCCAGGGGTTCGGGCTTCCTGACAAGACACAGCCGCCCCTCGGGGTCCTCCTGCAGCCTCTAGCCCTCCATGGATCCCAGGGGTCCGGGCCTCCTTCCCCTGTCCCAGACAAGACGCAGCCGCCCCCTCAGGGCCCTCCTGCAAGCCCTTAGCCCTCCATGGATCCCAGGTCCAGCCTCCCTCCCGCTGCCCCCAAGAGTTTCTCGGGTGGATCGGACAAAAAAGGCAGGAGGTCCCCAGGTAACACAGAGCTCCTGTAAAAGTAGCTGTTGATAGCTATCACGTAAGGGGACACCGGGCCTCGCAGGAGCCAGGATGGCCGAGCTGGGCCCTGCACTCAGAGGACACCTGCAGCAGCTCGACCCAGATACTGCCCAGTGGCTTCTGGGCCCCGGCCCAGCTCTACAGGCCACAGGCGGCGGACCCCCGGGCTGAAGCCTGGGAACAGGAGGGGAAGAGGCAGAAAAGTAGGGCCTTGAAGGGGGCCTTGGGGGATGGCATGAACTCCCTTCAGGATCTGACCCAACTCTCTCCATCCCTGAGCCTAAAAGGGCCTGCAGCCAGGGTTTGGGGCTGTCAGGACATTCTCTCACTGACCTCACAGAGTTTCCAAATGGCAGAGCTAGAACAGACCTGACAGAGAACCCAGACTAGCCCCAAAAGTGCTACACGGATCGCTCCTCCAGACTCTCTGACCAGCAGTTATTTAGTCTCCATGTGAATACTTCCAATGACAGGGAACTCACTACCTTATGACACTGTCCATTCCACTTTTGGGCAGCTCTAATTACTATGCATTTTTCGGCTTTCAAACCTTCATCTTCCTCTCTGCAGTGTCCACCTCGTTCTGCACTCGAGGGCCAGGCAGTACAAAGCTATTAGAAGACAGCTAGCCAGACAGACAGACCTGGTTCCTTCACTGGATCCTCATAGGACGGATCCCCAGGCCCATCCTTCCCCATCGGGGCCCTCTCCCCGCTCCAGCTGGTCATCATCCCTTGTGAACGTGCTCCGACCAGGGAAGAGGACGGGCTGTACCTTCCTCACTGCTGATTCTCTGCCTCCCTCATACTCGACACCAGCAAGACTCAGGAGGAGGGGAAGGAGGCTGCCGTGTCAGTGTTGGAGCACCCTGTGGCTCGCTGGAGACACAGAGGCGGGAGAGGCCTTCCTGGGGACCCTTCCTCTGTGCGGCTCTGGGGCAGTCACCCTCTCTGAGCAGCAGGAGTACCTAAGGTCCTGCGTGGGGCTCTGGGGGGAGGAGTCAGGACCCACCCTATTCTGTGAGCTCTGACTGGAAGGCCACACAGGCCCACCGAGGACAGAAGTCCGCTGACTGGCCCGAGGGAAAGGCCCTAACAGACCAGGAGGGGACAGCAAGAGAGGAGAGCGAGCTCCCTGGCTGGTCCTTGGCATGTGAACAGCACTGGAGTTGGAAGAGACAGGGCCGAAGGCCCCTTTCAGCCCCAACAGCCTGTGTTCTCTGTTCTAAGCATCTTGCAGCCCTGACATCCCCTGTTCCCAGGCCCCTCCCAGCTCTGATATTCCCTGTTCTAAGCTCCCTCTCAGTACTGACAGATCCTGTTCTAAGGCCCTATCCAACTCTGACATTCCCTGTTCTCAGGCCCCTCCCAGCTCTGACATCCCCTGTCTTCAGGCCCTTCCCAGCCCTGACATATCCTGTTCTAGGGTCCCTTCTTGCCCTGTTATCCCCTGTTCTAAGTTCCCTCTTAGCTCTGATATCTCCTATTCTAAATCCCCGCCCTGACATTCCCTGATCTAGGGTCCCTTCTAGCCTTGACATTCCATGTTCTAAGGCCTCTCCCAGCCCTGGTATCTCCTGTTTTAAGCTCCCTCTCAGCTCTGACAACTCTTTTTCTAAAGCCTTTCCCAGCCCTGACATTTCCTGTTCTCAGGCCCCTCCCAGCCCTGCCATTCCGTTTTAAGTTCCCTCTCAGCTCTGACATCTCCTATCCTAAGGCCTTTCCCTGCCCTGACATTCCCTGTTCTAGGGTCCCTTCTAGCCCTGACATTCCCTGTTCTAAGGCCCCTCCCAGCTCTGCCATCCCTGAAAGGCTCAGACATCCTCTCCTCTGGACTCCCCAGAACATGTTCATCCCCACAGCCTTTGCCATTTCCCCCAAACTCTGGTTGGTCCTTGGTTGTCTGACCCAGTCTCAGCTGACTGGAGGGCGAGGGGTCTGTCTCCCTAACCTTGCTGAACAGGCCATCTGAACACAAGCTGCACTCTGCCCGTGAGGAGATCCCCCCATTGCCACCCACAGACAGGATTTGAACCCCAAGCCCCTTAACCCCTCTGCTGTGCCAAGAGGCCCAGTTGCTTTACAAACTGCCCAGACAGACTAGGGCAGCCCCTTGGCTCCACTGTCTGCTGGCTACGTGCCCTGCAGACAATTCCCCAAGGCTCAGTTTCCCCATCTGTAAACTGGTGGTAGGCATGCTTCCCCAAGTACTTCAGAAGGTTGTCTGGAGGAAGGCACTTTCCTAAGGAGAGCAGTGTTAACAATCCTAATACCCTTCACCTCCCCCCAGCTCAGCATAGACTGTTCCCTGTGGGCCCCCGCCCTCAATGCTGCTGGCCCCCATTCAGTGCCCTGGCTGTTGGCATGCAGGGGTCTCAGCAGCTCTGAGAGGTCTCTGGCCTCAGCCCGGGCAGCCCCGTATTAACATTCCTGGAACCGTCTCCCTATGGAGATCGCCACAGGCCTGACCTAGTTTGAGCTGCTGTTTCCAGGACGAGCTGTGGGGGGTGGGGGCGGGGAGGGGGAGACGGCACCTGGCTTGGGTTTGGAGAAGCAGCCTCCCATGGCGATGGAGATGTTGAGTGAGGCCCCGAGGACGCCGGGCTGAAGGCTAGGCCATGGTGGGGGCGCCCAGAGGCAGCCGGGCCCCTCATCAGGGACCCAGCGCATCCCGCATGGGTCCCCCAGATGGCTCTGTCATTGCTGCCAGGAGGGGGCTCCGTCGCCTGACAACCTGAATTGAAGGCAAAATTCCAGTTAGGACTTTAGCCTCCTCCCCTGATGGCAGCCTGTCCCCAGCCTACCCCAGAGAGAAGAAAAACAGCAATGATACTGGGGACCACATCCCGGCAGCACATTATTGATGAGAGGGCCCCAGAGCACCAGAGCAGCCCCAGCACCCAAAGGCTCCAGAGGGCTTCCCTACAATCCCCACCCCCAGGGGAAGAGTCTTACAGATAGGGAAACTGAGGATCAGAAGAGTGAACTGGCTTGCCCATGGACACACACCTAAGAGATCCCCTCCATTCTGTTCTTTCCCAGCCCTGACATTCCCTGTTCTCAGGCCCCTCCCAGCCCTGACGTTCCCTGTTCTCAGGCCCCTCCCAGCCCTGACATCCCTTGTTCTAAGGCCCCTCCCAGTCCTGACATTCCCTGTTCTAAGAGCCAGTCAGCCAATTAGCATTTTGGAAGCACCTATGAAGAGCCTCACCATTTCCGTTGTCCAATGGGGTTGTATTAGGGGAGGCATGGGGTCACTGGGCTCTAAAGGCCTCCAGACCCTGTGCTGGCTTTCAAAGCTCCTCCTCTTCCTTCCTGACCCCCCACCTCCGGTCAAGGCCCAAGTCTCCGATGTTCCATCCCTCCCAGTCTCTCTCCAGTTGATCTCCAAAGCTGTGGAGCCTCCAGCCAGGCCCACCTGAACCTCTGACTGGCTGACCTATACCTCAGCTTCCCTGATTTGCTCCACCCTACTCAAGACTGCCCTGCAATCTTCCCCCTGGACAAATGTCCTGAGGCTCTTCTGCTCAGAGATCACCCAGAGGCCCCTGGATCTAGAGGTAGAAGAGGCCCCAGAGGCCTCATTTCACAGAACAAGCATTTCTTAAGCCTTGGGGCATTGGCCAGGCCCTACCCACATGAGGCTTCCAGGAGTGTGCCCATGACCCCAAACAGAGCAGAGGGAAGGGGGGCTACCAGCAGGCTGTGTGGTGAGGGCTTCAAGAATGGCAAAGACCCCGCCCCTGGGCCCACCTCCAAGCTCCCCTGCCAGAGTCCTGCCTTCTGACCCAGGCCCCACTGGCCCCAGTGAACCCAGGGGCTTTGTTCTCTCTACTGATGCAACAGGCAAGAGCCATAGCTAGGACTCTTAGTGCCCAGCTGCTGCCTGGGAGGCCGGGGATGGGCTGGGGCCAGGGGAGGAGTTCCAACAAAGGAATTAGAGTCACCTCAGGGCAGCTAGGTGGGTCAATGAGTGAGGAGAGGGCTGCACCTGCAGTCAGGGAGACCCAGGTTCAAATCCAAATACTGGGTGTGTGACCCTAGGTAAGTCATTTCACCTCTGACTGCCTCAGTTTCCTCACCTATAACATGGATAATAAAAGCACCGACTTCTCAGGGTTATGAGGATAAAAATGAGATAAAGTATTTTGTAAACCATAAAGCACTCTATCATTATCATGCTATTAGATGTGGGTGACCCCACCCTGAAAGTCTAGGAGGTCACACCACCCCGGCCTCCAGCAGGGACACAGCAGTGGTGAAGGTCAGGCTCCAGGAGAAGGGTACCCTAAGAGGAGAGCCCAGGGCGGGCCAAGGAGAGGCCACACTGGGGTGTCCCGATGAAGGAGGCGCGGAGTAGGACTCGGCAGCAAGCCCTCAGCTAGTAAGCACCTACTGTGTGCTAAGCACTGTGTGCCAGGTGAGGTACAGGGTGCTGCGGAGACCAGATCAAAGCCCCAGCCCTGCTCCCTTAGGACAGGCCTGGTTCTGGCTCTGCCTTTCTTTGTCCCCAGCACTCAGCCCAGTGCACGGCACACACTGGGGACTTAATACGCTCCTGTGGAAGGAAGGAGATGCAATGGACATCCAGAGGAATTTCAGGAGGGAGAGACCGCTAACAAGGGCAGGAGATCGGGAAAGGCCGAGCCCCCAGCTGCAGGACCTAAGCAGGTAAAGGGGAGGAGTGAGTGCATTCCAGACTTGTGCAAGGGCTTGGAGGTGGGAGATTGGATTCTTCATTTTTCATTCCAAGAATAACTGGCAGGCCCGGGGATGTGTTGTCTATTACAGGCAGAAAGTGCCAAGGAGAGCTTTCTGTCTGGTGCCCGAGCATGAGCTCTCTCTCCCAAAGAGGAGTGGGCTGCCGGTCATCGGGGGCCTTCAAATGGAGGCTGGAGATCCGTTTGATGGGTAAGCTGAAGCGCTTCCTGGGGGGGGGGGCATGGGGCTGGATTCAGCGTCCCCGAGGCCTTGCCCAACACTCAGACTCTCTGGCTGGGGCACCATCCAGTTCAGACCTTGGAAGCCCAGAGCCCTGCTTGGGATCCCCAAATGGCCAGACTGCCTTGGGGACCAGAGGCAAGTCGCCTGCCCCCACCCCCAGAGGCTCATGGATTTAGAGGCTGTAGGGTGCTTAGAGGCCAGTGAGGCCAAACCCCTCATTTTACAGAGAGGGAACCACAGCTCAGGGACATGTCCTCGCTGCCCCGGGGCCCCCCTTCCTCCTCTCTTGGGCCCCATGACCTCACAGGGTCTTACCAGGCCCCCTTCCCCTGGGGCCAGTGCCCAGGGCCCACCCTGCCAACGGCCTGGCTGACTCAGATGCTGCCAGGGTGCCCCTCACCCACTGCTGGGTGGTGCCCAAAGGCCCGGGAGGTGCGGCCACTGCCCCGCAGGGACTCTCCTGGAGACAGCAGGAAACCCCCGATTATGGAAAAGGGAGAGCAGCCTGGGGAGGGGGCAAAGCAGAGGCATCTGGGCCTGACTGGGCCCCAAGTGTGGCAAGGGCAAAGACTTAGTAAGGTTGGCCAGGCTGAAAAAGCTGGAGCCAGCCTAGGCAACTTTCAAAGGAGAGGGTCAGAGGGAGGGAGGAGAGGGAGAGAAGGAGTGGGGGAAGGAGGGATGGAGGGAGAGAGAGAGGGAGGGGAGAAGGGGGGAAGGAGATAGGGAGAGAAGGGGGGAGAAGGGGAGGGAGAGAAGGATGGGGGGAGGGGAGGGTCAGAGGGAGGGAGGGGAGGGAGAGAAGGAGGGAGGGAAGGAGGGATGGAGGGAGAGAGAGAGGGAGGGGGAGGGGGAGAAGGGGGGAAGGAGAGAGGGAGAGAGAGAGGGAGGGAGGGGGAGAAGGGGGGAGGGAGGGGAACGGAAAAAGGAAGGAGGGAGAGAGGGAGGGAGGAGTGGGAGAGAGACATGGAGGGGAGGAAGGGTGGAGGGAAGGAGGGAAAGAGGTGGGCAGGGAGGAAGACAAGGAGACAGGGAGGGAGGGAGGTGCAGTCTCAGGGGCCTCTGGCCTGGCTCTAGGTTCTAGGTTCACTGATAGTACACTGGAAAATTTGCCCATTTCTCAGAGATGGACCAGGACTTCCAGAGGCCTGGAGACTTCAGGAATAAGCTGAAGGAAATGAGGGTGCCTGTCCTGGAGAAGACACTGGAAGGGAGTGAGGGGCGGGGGACATCTGAAGAAGGACTCGCCTTGGTCAGCTTGGCCCCAGAGGGGAGAACCCGGAGCCATGGGGAAAGAAGACCTTGGTAAGGACAGGATCTTTGCTAAGTAGTGAGTTCCCCATTCCCAGAAGCAGTCAAGCGGGGCCAAGGAAGAGGAGTAGGACTCAAAGGGCTTCTGAGGCTCCAGGACTCCTCAGCCTCGCAGCCTCCCCAAGGCTGGAGTTACATGCTGACCAGCTCAGCGTTCTCAGTCATCACAATATTGTAGCTTTTGGGGAAGAGTTAGGTTTGCAAAGTGCTTGCATCCACTCCTCACATGAACCTCACAATAAACCCAAGAAGAATGGTTCTTATTATACCCGTTTTGCAGAGAAGGAAGTTGAGGTGGAAGGAGGTGAAGCCACGCAGGTAGAGCCCGGGGCTCTGGCCACTGCGCCGCACTACCTCAGAACTGAATCGGATCTCAAGAAGTGGAGGGAGGTCCCAAAGCTCAGTTAGCATCCCTCCTTTGGGAGCTGCCGGGGGGTAAGGAGGTCACTCCCCGTCTCCCTGCCCGGCAGACCGCACCTAAGGCACCTCCCCCACAGAGTGTTTGCCCAACCTCGGCCAGCTCAGCCCAGGGCTTTGCCACGCTCACCGCTGGAAGGCTCTCCCTTACCTCCGGCCTAACTCTGTCCAGCTGGGGCTTGAGTACCCCCAGTCGGGTACACCCCCCACCGAGTTTGGGGGGAGGGCCCCCTGCTAGAGAGCAGCTGCCTTCAGGCTCTCTTCCTCTTCCCCTTTAGGGTGAGCTTTTCCAGCCGGCCATCACAGACTCGGAGTTGGACAGGCCGAAGGTCATTCGGGCCAACCCTCTGTCCCAGCGTGGGCCTGACCACTGCAGCTCAGGGGCCTTGGAGCCAGTAGCAGCCTCAGAGAGCTCCATCTTCCAGAGAAGGAGGCTGAGGCTCAGCCAAGGGAGGCCCCGCAGCACAGGGGGGGCCCTGCGCCTCACAGGAGCTCAGGAAATGTCCACTGGGTTCCACTGAATTGAGTTTGGCCGGCAAGGGCTCAAGCCCGGCTCTTCTGACCACAATCCAGGGCTTACTATTCATTAGGAAATTCTCTTTTCTCCTCAAACAAAATCTGTTTGCCTGAAACTGCTCCCCACTGGTCCTGGTTCTGCCCTCTGGGGCCAAGGGAAATTCTAATCCCCTTCCCCGTGACAGGCCTCTGGGGGGCTGGGCCTCTGCCAGACCCGGGGGGCTGGAGCAGGAGCCCCCGTGGTTGGACCTCTCAAGGCTTATTGTGGGGGGCTTGCCAGGTGGGTATCAGGCCTCCTGTGGGGGGGGCTGGGCAGCGGGTGTCAGGCCTCCTGTGGGGGGGTGGGCAGGGGGTGTCAGGACCTCAGCACTCGCTGGGGAGGCTGGGCAAGTGGTGTCAGGCCTCCTATGGGGGGCATGGGGTGTCAGGCCTCCTAGTGGGGTAGGATGTATCAGGCCTCCTGTTGTGGGGCTGGGCAGCGGGTGTCATGCCTACTGTGGGGGCAGGGGGTGTCAGGCCTCCTGTGGGGTTGGGGGCTGGGCAGCAGGT